ATTTCAAAATATTTTTCTAGAGAAACATGTTAAGCGGCTAAACCACAAGTTAGGCATTAATGTATGCTGTATGTAAAAAAAAAAAGTGGCTACTGCTTAACAGGACCTTGCCAATGTGATCCATATTCTCTATTGGCCAAGTTAATCAGCAATGATTATTAATATTGGAGGCTGAGAGGTTGTCATTCAATATTTGCCATGCATGTTGGGCCAACTAGGAAGCCTGTTCTTTTTGCTACATCTTTTCATCTCCTCTATTGATCTCTTGCCAACTATCCAGGCATTTATTACATAGAGGTTTCCTGGTGGATTGCTTTGAGCCCACATTTTCTTTCCATCTTAATCTCCCTGCCTTCATATGAGAGGTTACTGTAAGTTCTGAATGGATATTTCTAAATGCTTAAGTAATCATCCCTAATTGAAACAGTTATGTGAAGGATATTCCTCTCATTTCTTTCTAGGGCACATGTTAGGAGTACAGGTCTCTCAGCCATATTATCCTAGCATTGCACCATCCTTTGGGATTCAGGTATCCTTTGTAAGAGATAAGGAAGTTCTATTAGCGCTTTTTATAGACTGGTCATTTGTTGTGGAGCCGAAATATTTGAATCTATCTACTATTGGGAACAATTTGCTATCAACTGTGCTGGAGTAGATTTTTTTAAAATTTACTACCATACCAAATGAAAAATAGAATTATTTTACAATTCTGAACCTTGGAAGTAAAATACTTTATTCCATTTTAAGTTTTTGGTAGAGTACTTGGAATGTAGTTAATATTTGTTAGTACATCCTATTCCACTCCTCTGATATTAACCTAATGATTTGAATTTAGTTTTTAGGAATTCATTTGTTGTTTAGACAAACATTAACACATTGACCTTTGTTTTATTGTAATATAAAGTAAAATTTTCCTCATATTCTTAATATATATTGAAATTGGAACGTTAGGTGTGTAAAAATGACTTTTGTGCTCATATACCATTTTTTTAATTAGAACTCCATCTTAGGTTCCAACCCATTTAAATGATTTCTCAAAATTTCATATCAGTATCTCAAAAATCCAATGAAACTTTTTTAAACAGTATATTAGAACTTCTAAGGAAAAAAATAAAATTTGGTAGATGGAGTAAGTTTCACTCTCTTGGTTGTTAAAGTGTAAAATCCTATCTGTGCTACTTAAAGAATTTCTATGCAATAACATCCATTATTTGAAAATAAAGTGATTATATATGTGACATTCAAATGGCGTTTTATTTTATATTAGATTTGATAGCTATGTCCAATTCAGTACTCCCATTCTATACAGTGAAATTAAGTATATTAAAATTTGTAATTTAATCAAATTGATGTTTTGGTGAGATTAGTAAATAAATAAATCACATATTAGCTTGGTTAGACAAGGTTTTGCCTAATATTGTTGGCTAAAATGTGTTAATTTGGGCTTTTGAATATTCTTTTTATGATTAAATGTATTTTATTATTTAAAAAAAATTGTAATCACACTTACACATTTTTTACTCTTTGTCGATTACAATGTCAATATCATTTTGACATATATTTTCTAAAATCTGAGATAAATAATTTTTTTATTAAACCATTTTCATAAGTTAGATTACTATTATGTAAAGAAATGAAGATAATATTGTTTAAAACGAACTATGTGTTCACTCATCAAAACTTTAAATTAACATTAGATTATTATCACATCATCAAACCAAATTCTATATATTGTATAATAAGGTAATCGTAAATAATTTATTATTTTTAGTGGAAAGGGGTTTTCAAGTTGTAAAAGAATATTGTGAAAACATTGGACTAAAATATTGACTGTCTAATTAAATAAAACAATATCTAATCATTTTGTTTTGTGTTGACTAAACACAATCACCACAACTACACACTGATCCACAACAAAAGATAATCATTGTAAATAAATAATCATTAGTCAAGACTACTACTTGTAAACATAAAATCTACAACTTTAATCTCCATCATTGGTATTAGATTAAGTCCTGAAGCTTACTTAGCACACTCATTGATACAGAAGCTGAGCTAGCAAGAGGTGGGAGATCTTTCAAGGTGAAGCCTTCCCTCCCAAAATAAAAAAATAAATTAAAAAATAATCTCTAAAAGTATTATTGTTTGTGTAAATAGGGAGAATGTTCAGCTATTCTTCAACTACTTTGCTTTTCAAATACAATCTCTTGTTTTTTCTATTATTTTCCTCTGTAATATCATCTTTGCTGCAGTGAGGGTTGTATAGGATAGTACATTCTCCTGCTCAACCACACACATAACTGGAGGAAAACTATTTTGAAGACAGCTTAGTTCCTTTCTAACAACTACAATATAATTAATAGGCTACAGACACCAATTCCAATGCATACTCTGTTGTAAACTTTTGAATATTCGTTACCATAATTTAAATCACCCTTGATTAATAAAAGGATAAACTCTTTTCTATTTTATTATCTACCCCTACCCCTTTATCCTAGAAAAAAAAGGATCCCTTTTGAGCAACATGTTTAAATATATATCTTTATATTAAATATAGTTCTAGAATAACTGAACGTTCTCCCTATTAATGTCAAATTTAAAGGATGCCAGCTTCAGTCTTATATAAACAAATATGTTTTGAATGACTGTTCATCCAAAAGATCTTTGGAAAGAGGAGGACCTGTAGGACAAAATAGTTTACCTCAGTTTAAGTTTACAGAGTACTTGTAAAAACAGAATTAGGAAAAAAATACGGAAGCTATATCCTACATCCAATTATTTTGCGTTAAGTAGTAAATGGTTGTTATTCCTTTATGTATATATGTTAGTTACTTGACCATGTTTCATAATGCTATGGTCTAATTGGGTTCAATGTCAGTACCTTCATGAATATAATTGCCACCTCATTTTATATTTTTAATCTTTTTTTTTTTAGTTATAAACCTTTTTGTTAAATGACGTGATTAAAAAATAATTATTTTATAATAAAAATTCACACAGAAATTTCAAAAAAAGTGTTGATCTGTTTTTCTTAGTAATTTCTGGAACCATGACTGGATATCTCATAAGTTATCCTATTTTAAGTTTTTAGGCCTGCTGGAAAGAGGAGATACACGTTTTCATTGAATATCTTTTTTAGACCAAACTTGATTAAAACATTTATATACTAATTTATTCTATTCTATGGAGATATTTTTTTTATATGGTAATTTATAAACTTTGTCTTCCATAGTAATTTCTTTTATTACTTGCTTTGATCATTACATTTTATATATTTTAAGGGTAATTTTTTCATCTTTATCTATTAATTTTATTTAAAAAATAATTAATGTTATATTATCTAAAAATTAAATGTAATCCTTAAGCATAGGAAAGACAGAAACATTGAAGTTGTGGACAATAGACAATTAAGCATATGATTAAAGAAAAAAATATTAAGAAATAAAAAGTTCTCAAAATACTTTAATTTGTTGAAAACAATTTTGTGATGTAGTCTCAATGACATGTATGTTATTCATTGTTTTACAAATATAAATATTTTATTTCTCAGTTCCTTATTATATGACATTATTATTATTATTATTTTTATTAATGGCCTTGATTGAGAAGTTCATTAATAAGGAAAGTATAATTTAAATATGTATATTCTGAATGATATGCTTTTCACATTCTGTTAAACAATTTCAATCTTGCCATTTGAATATTGTGAAGGAGAAACAACTTAATAAAAATCACTTTAAATAAATTGTTTTATTTAAAGAAAAAAATTCAAGTTAATCCTAAAATATCCAAATCATTATTATTTTTCCTTTTTTGTAATTGGTAGTTATATCGAATGTGTGTGAATTTTGCCTCCAAAAAGAAAAAAAAAAAATCCATAATAGGATAACTTTTTTGATTTTTGGCATGAGCCTTCATTGTAGCTTTGTGTTTTGCAGTAAATATTTATTTTAGCCATGTAATTAAAATTTATAAAATGGACACGTAAAAAGTTTTCAACAGCTTCAAAAATAAATAAACCTGTAACCGAATTATAGAATTAATGATAAAATATTTTTTTGACAAATCTCTTTCCTTTCTTTCTAGCATTATATCTGATTGTGGAAATAAAATTTTATTAAATATTTATTTTAGCCACACAAGAAATCTATCAACAATAGATGTGAAAAATAAAATTGAGTTATCCTTTTTGTTTGTACAAGCCTTAAATATAAAAGTCGAGTTTACTGTAATAAGAAGCTTCTAAAAAATCAACAAACATACTCAGAGTATAAATTGTTTAAGACAAATGCAAGACTAGGAATTTTGATAATCAATTTTTTGGAATCTGGTTCACATTAATGGTTATAACATTTTATATGTTATTTAACAAATTTATTTTAATCATATTAATGTATTTGATATTGAATTTATTTAATCTTGTTAGACATTTATTGTATAGTAAATTGTATGAGACTCCAGTTAGTGATTAATGACATTTTTAAGTTTTCAGTTTTAAAAAGTAGATATTGGGAATAGAATGTATAAGTACTAAGGGAAACCGGAAAAAATATGTTAATTTACTAAGGCTTTGTTTACTATTTTCAAAATATTTAATTAAATTTATTATTTTATTAGAAACTAGTTCATATTCCAACTCTGATGTGAAAAGAAAATCAAAATTAAATTAACCAGTGAAAATTTTGTATTTCAATAATAACAGTATGCATAAACAGTTCTTTCAATTTTTATTGTACAAAAATTTATTATTCAACAAACTTGAATTTATTTTAACTTGGTGCAAGACCAGCTGATTTGGTTTGCATTTGCCAGTATGTTATGTATTAAATTTTTGCGCGGTCTTATAGGATTTTTCGAGATAAAATGAAAATAAAAACTGTTGACATATTTAAATAGCTAATTGAAATGATATACATACATTTTTTTTAAATATTATAAAAAATTATAGAAAACTATCAAGAACTCCTGGTTCCGGTTCTCCCCCTTTGCGCAAAGGGGTGCGCAGCCGGGCCATTTCACTTGTTTTGTTAAGTGCGTGAACACCCCTGTGCAAGCACATCATAATATTCAGTTTCACTTTACTTCAAGTCTGGACTGTTGTTACTGCTAAAGATATATACAAGTATTCATTGTTTTCATAGTCTAGTTCGTATTTATTTGTGAACGCAGTTACGTGACTTGTAAGGTATGTACTAGTAATTTGAGACAGGTGTAGTTAAAACATGTTTCATGATCTATGCTAGTGTAGTTATATTGCAATTCACATTATTAAGTTTACGTTGTTGGTGTCTTTTTTTTTCTATTACAATTTAAAGTATACTTAGTTGTCTCCCATCGTATGATCAAACAAATTCGTTGCCTGGCGAAGGGAGCCATGCTTTTCTCCTAGTCCTTTGTTCGGTTTTTAATCCTATTATCTGAGGAAATTTCATCGTTTCGAATTTAAATTTTTACTATTCTTTGAGTAAACTGTTCCTTTTCTTAATATTACATGATTTAATTTTTATTTGTCAGTTATATATAACCTATATTGTCCTAGGTGTGTAGTAATTCTACAGTTTTAGTTTCCTAAGATTAACTATTTACCCTATTATTTAATTTTTTTTTTTTGTAAATGCTCATTAACCATGATATGTTACTATGTAGTTTTTCAAAAATAAAATCCAAAAATAATAATTGATTTAAATAAATGTTTAAGTTACTTGATTTTATTCTGCATTATAAATGTAACCTTTATTTCTTATAACTTCCTCAGATTCTCTAATGTGGATAAATGATCTTAACCTAATTTTTGTTTCTATTATAATTGGAATCTTTGAGCTTTACTTATTTATTACATCATCTTATCGAATGTTAAGTTGTCTCCTGTCTCATAGCTTATTTTTTATTAAAGTATTGTATTTTATCCCTATATTCTAACTTCTTTCGGAGGTATTATTCTCATCTGTTAATTTAGGTTTAGGTCAAGCTTATAATACAGCCATAAATGGACATTCTGGTATGATGCATGTCATTTATGTTACTGTTATTACTAGTTTCTTCACTACACTTATTTTCAAATAATCTTTCAATATTTAGATATTTTCATGTTAATTAAATAACAGTTAGCAATTTATAGGCATTTTATTTTTGTTTAATGTTATTTAGCTTATTCATCATTATAGATGGATCTTTTTTTAATTTAAATTCAGTTCCTTTCATTAGGACCAACACCATGAATATGTTAAACCTCAAAATGTATACATGAATTTTTTAGATTATTTATTTAGTAAATCAAATAGAATGCCAATAGTATATACTATTGTATTAATTATTATAGTATAGTACTGCAGTATTAATTGTCATTTTTTGTATTTATTTATTTTCATGTTTTAGTCAATGCTTTGGTAAGACACTAAACAAGTTTCAAGGCGTTGATCAAAATGGTTATGGACCGACCCTTAAGTCCACAGAGTGTAGGACGAGAGTTCGTGAGGCAATATTATACACTTCTGAATGAAGCTCCAGCTCATTTACACAGGTATTTCAGATTTCTCATAATTGGTATAAATTAAATGAATTTTGAATATTTTACATTAAATATTGAAAACTGCCATCCATGAGTTCTTTATTGATCTATGGAGTACACATGCTAGTTTATTGTTTAACTCACATTAATATGTTCCCATTCTTTTTTACTTACGCCTTTTTATGTTCTAAATCAATATAAATTTTTACTTACAAAAATCACTAATTAATGAAATATAGATATATTTTTATTGGATGTGCTTTTCACTTTTTGCTTAACATTCTGTTTTTCGCATTTGGGTACCTTGAAAGAACGGTAACCCTGTTTGGATATATTTAAAAACATTATTCCGATAAGGCTTACAATATTCAACTAATTATTTAAAAAAAAAAAAAAAAATTATTATTTTTCTTGAATTACTAGTAATACAGTATCTTTCTTCAACAATTGTTTTATTGATTTTTGCATATTTGTTTATATATTTCTAAATTATACATAATGCCAAAATTATATTACTCATTTAACCACAATGTAATATTCCAGTATTTTAGTAACATCTACTATTTTATTTTGTACATTTAAGAATTCCTTTAATAACAAATTTCAATATATACGTTTAGTAGTGATGTAAATATAGAATGTAAATATTTGTCCTCTAACCTTTTTTTTCTATTTAATAAACAAATTAATAATTTTTAAATCCTTTAAATTATTTTTTACCAGTGTTAAGTTGAGAAGCATGTTGATATTACAGATAGTACTCAATAGTACATTTCAAACCTTATCCGTATATTTTAATTTTAATATACATTTAAGTATATTAAAATTAAGGCTTAAAACTTCTGTGGAACTTTTATATTAAGTTCTATTTTAACATTTCCCCTAAAACTTTTTTTTTAATTCAAGTTCTACAAACCATTTTTATTATTAAATTCTAGGTTTATTGTATAAGTTCAACTTTTATTTATTCATGTTTTTAACAAAATGTTACTTAAAATAGATTACGCTTCAATATAATTTATCTTGAATGGAATTGCTCGATTATTGTAGTTTCTATATACAATATATATATGCATATTATAGTTGGTAAGATGTTACTAAATTTCATTATTTAGAATAATATTTGGTGAAATAAGTTGCTTTTACATTATTTTTAAATACTAGTATTTAAAATAAAAGTTTTATGATATCTTTAATTTTATGTTCCTTTAAAAAAATATTTCTAGTTCCGAAATAACAGGAAAACAATTAAAAATAATTTGAACTGATTTTAATTTCAAGAACCGGTTAAATTTAAATTTTTTGAGAAAATTTAGACCTTTCAGCAAGGAATATTTCAATATCAGAATTTCAACTATTAAAAGGCAGTGAATCATTATTTATTTAGAATTTTTAATGCTCAATATTATCAGAGCTCAGGAAATGTAAATACTATGACTAATACAACCTTGTGGAAAATCCTTCCTTAAATTCCCATACCCAATTTTTAGGCCAATTGGCTAATTGTGATATTTAAACTAATGTTAAATGATTCATAAAAGCTAATAGTCTGTTATATTAAAAGCAAAAACTCCCATACAACTCATAACTTCTACTCTAATGTGATGGCAGAGATGATTTGTGAATGTGGTTGCTACAAACAGACTTCATGAAATTTTACTCATGTAATTTAAGATTGTAGGCTTTATGAACGGGCCTTACAAAAATTATGTGGGGAGACTAATGAAAGGGAAGGAAACTTTGCCCACATGACCCTAATTATTTAACAAGCTAAATTTTTTTTTAAATTTTTTAAAAGTATTTGTTAAAGGCATTAAAATAAATAAAAAATGTTTGATATTACATCCTTGTTAAATCATATTTTATTGCAGTTTCAAGTTTTGTTAAATTAAATTATTATTATTATGTAAGTAGTAATTGTTTACAATTAAAACCATAAATTGGTTAAGGAGCCTGGCCTGGGTCTGTGTTAGCAGAATTAAGTAAAATTTATATGCAACAATAAAAGTACCAACTCATTAAATGGTGCTAAAATCGGATTATCTTTAGTTGGTGTTATTTCCATTTAATGGAAAAGCACGCAGAACTAAATTGTTCCTTGATATCCAGAATTTAAAAGTTAAGTGAACATTTTTTTCTACTTCCTTCAACAAGAAAATAAATTTCTTCTATATTTATAGCAGTTAATGCATAGAAATAAAATATTGTTAAAATAACTACTGCAAAAATTTTGGTTTTGGTGATTGAAAGAAATGAGACCTACTTGATTAATGTATATATATTATTTACTATACATATGTGTGTGTGTGTTTTATATTTATAATTAATTATAGTGGAAAATCGAATCTTGTCTAGATATATTTCTGTTTTCAGGTTCTATAACAATAGTTCCTCATTTATTCATGGAGGCTTAGGGCCAACAAATCGTGAAATGCCTGTTGTTGTTGGACAAAAACAAATCCACCAGCAAATCCAACAATTAAATTTTCGGGATTGTCATGCCAAAATTAGTCAAGTGGATTCACAGGCAACCCTGGACAATGGAGTAGTAGTACAAGTAAATATTTTTCATTCTTATTTATTAAAATAACTCTATAAACAATTATGATGTTAAATAATGATTAATTGTTTAGGTAAGTGGCGAGTTATCAAATGCTGGACAACCCATGAGAAGATTTACTCAGACATTTGTACTTGCTGCTCAGTCCCCTAAGAAATATTATGTCCATAATGACATCTTTAGATATCAGGTATTATTTATTATATATTTCCACAGTTCTCGTAGTTAAAATTAATCATCAAGTAGTTTTAGTAGTAATTAGTTCATTTTAGATTACTTTAAAAGGAAATTTAATTCTTAAAACTTTTAAGTTAAATTATTATTGAAATTATATTGACAAATAAATATTAAAATTATTGAAATTAGATTGACAAATTATTATTTAAATTGTTGAAGTTAGATTGATGATGACGGGAAACTGTTGTGATGCTGATTTGGTGTATTGTCTTTATGTTTGTGTTAGTTAGTATTTATCACTCTGTGCCTATTGATAGTTTTATTACTGAATCATATCTTATCTACAAGGCAGTTGTAGAAATCTATTTTTCTGATGCCAAACAGTTTTCAACTTAATCTCTTTTTCCAAACTCTTGAGATAACAAACCCTTTTCAGCTTTTCCCTTTCTCCAAACCCTTGAGATAAGGAAGCTTAAATTTTAAAAACTTCTATGAATCATCTCATTATAAAATGTGTTTGCATTATATGCTACTATATTTAGAACACATATAGTATTTGTAGTTATCAGATACCATTTGTTTTCTTTCCTATTCAATTCAAATGCCAGAAGTTCTGTAAGTCTTACAATTCTTATGGACTTAAGCTGTTTATATTTCTCAAAATAGTGTTATTTGTATAGTCTTATTTTACTTGTTAAAGTTTTAGTCAATTATAAGTTTTAAATAGCAGTTCTAAATAAAGGAAATTAATAAGTCTTTTTTTACTTAAAAAAATTATTAGAATTTTGTTCTTGTATGCTGTTATTTAAAATTCTATTAATTTTGTTTCGCTTCCCAGTATAAGTGGATTCACTATTCACTCAATTTCTTTGTAGAATCACAGAATATTTAAAGTTTTACATTTGGATATGTGCACTTTGTTGAAGTTTTACATTTGGATACTATTATATTATCCTTTTTCTTTCTCAAAAATTTAAGTTAGTGCACTTTTTTCAAGTTTTACATTTGAATACTGTTATTATCCTTGTTTTTTTAAATTCTTATTTTCAATTTTAAAAATGAAAAAATTAATGGAATTCAAAATTGTTATCTGGATAGAAACTGCAACTAATTTATGGGTCATTGCATGATATTTCCATGTCTTTCCCAAAACTTACAATTTCCCCAAATTTTATAACTACCCACTTAATATATGCAGTAATATTACAAAGTCAATTATTGAATTTTAATAAGTTATTTAAAATTAGGAGTAAGTATATTGTCCTTATTATTAATATGTAAATGTTACATATTATTAATTTCACTCTTTTATACTTTTATTTAAAACAAACACCTCCTTTAGTCTGGTTTAGGGTTTTAATTCATCTTCAGAATCTCTTTGGAGCTTAGTTAAATTTAATTAGAATTATTAGTACATTATATATAAAAGGAAGGGGTACCCGACTTTTTAAATTATCCAAATTCATTCATAGTATCCGAATGGTATGTTTTATTTGAAGCTGACCAAATATAAATTGTTTGGTTCCAATTTTTATTTCAATATAAACTAATTAATTGACAACAACCAATTGAAGCTTCTTAATTTTTTTTTGGCAGTGTTGAGATCTTTGATTTTTTTCAAACAACCTTGCTTGACTGACTCCTTGTTTAATGGATTTAGCATAATTTTACTCTTTATTTAGGTTCATTTTTTATTATTTCATTCTACCTCTCATCTTTTCTTTAGTATTATTGTATCTCGATGATTTTCTATTTCAATTATCCACGTTGTTTTGTTAAAATTTTATTTCATCAACACTGAAATATTAAACATATCTTAAAACAAAAATAGGCTATTTATATGATTTAAATTGTAATCCAGGGTGTATTTTAAAATGGTCTCTACAAATCTCAGCAATCTAATTTATTTGATGTAATCTTCTATTCAAATTATTGGCTCGAATTAATAACATTATGCTAACAAAAAAAAAAAAAAAAAATCATAAGATATATACATAGCCATGTCACTTTGGAATATTGTTATATCAAAGTTTAATTTTAACAAAATAAAGGAGCTAAAGTGGTTCTACTATCGTTAAATTTGGAGGAAATCCTGAGTTATGAATGCGTTAGTTATAGGCTGGAAAACTAATCAAGTACTACACTTTGAGATTCTTGATTTCTATAAAAATTAGTATTTAAGAGTTTCTAAGGATATTAAAAACGAATCTTAACTTTTGCTTTTTCATAACATAAATTTTCTTGTCCTACCTTGGAAACGCGCCTTTTGGTGTTTAATTTATGATGTATTATAATTCATTTAATACCATATTCATTATTTTTTTCTTATTCTGTACAAAGATTGATTATATATAATAAGCCAAAAATCTGGGCAAAGTAAAGGCAAGAATAAATTACAAATTTTGTTTAAAATTATAAAAAAAAATTTTTTTGGCTCCTAAGCCCATTGGAACATGCTGGGGCATGTTTGAAATATATTTCGATGTCAGATTGACCCATTTACTGTAAACTTCCCTTGCAAGTTATATATTGTAATGTATAATTCAGGTGTTGGTGATCAATTAAAATTATTTTTAATTAGTGGACTTAGTTATCACAGGATCTTAACTTGACTTGTATTTACTTTAATTGTAGAAATAATTACAATAACTGTTCAATTATTATTCAATATTGGTAAATAATTTAACTTAAATTACTTTTTTCATTTTTTGTTTAGGATCTTTTGTCAGATGAAGAGCTTGAAACAAGGTCTGAAGCTGAGGAAGATCAGGAACCAGAAGTACAGCAGAATGATATTCATGCGCCTGAGGTGATACTATAATAATAATAATAATATTTTTATATATATATATTTTTTTTTTACCATCCTACTTTTTTTTTCTAATCTAATATTAGTATGAAACTTCAGATGCTAAAGGCCATGCATGATAGCCTTAGGGTTTCTATAACTCAAATGAAATTGGTTTTATTTTATTTTTGTATTTCTGTTGTAATAACTTCATCCATTAATAATATAAATATGGATTTAGACTTGGACTATCATCCCTTTCTTACTCATCTTGTTTTATTTTCTTGCTGTTTTAAAAATATTTCTTAAATAAGTCTCGGCCCTTTATCTTTTTTTTCTTGAGCACTTCAAATACTTAAATTCTTAATATAGCATTGAATGTTTAAATTATTGTGTCTCTTTTGCACATCTGCACTACTGATATTTTTCTAAGTACTTTAACATTGCATAAATAAGATATCCTGCATACTTTTTCAGTATGCTAATAAACAAATATTTTTCAAAGAGGTGACATATATTTTGCAAGAATTACTTACCATTCAGATCTCCTGATGACTGCTTTTTTTTTTTTTTGTTTCCTTTTTTATTTACAGAAAGAATCATGTTAAATATTGTGATATTTTTTAATTTGTGTGTCAAATAACCTCTGCTAGTAATCCATTAATAAATTATTTCTGGTGTGGTGCTATCTATACTCTGTCTTACTTAATTACTTGAAGTTCTTAGAAATATTTTCCACATTTTGTATTCTTTTTTTAATGTATTATTATATCTGTAAATGTATAAAGACCAAAATCTTCATAATATATCTATTTAATGTTCATCACTGGATCTTAAAGCTTTGAATTGAAATACTTTCTTGGAATAATTTAGTGTCTTTTTATCTAATCATGTAAATGTTATGTTTTGTTATTAGTTACATACATTTGATTCTGTTTGAATCAACTGCTTATTTATTTTTTCCTTAAATGTGGTATGAACTATTTGCAGGCTCCTGGAGCGTACTACCCAACTGTGAATCAAGTTGTCAACGGAATGTCAGAAAATAAAAATCACGAGGACCTTGCACAACCTGATCCTCCACCACAGGTCTATAACAACATTGAAATCATGCAGCAGGCCCCTCCAAACCAGTTAGTTGTAAGTATTTTTTTTTTATTGGTCTTAAATAAATATATTTTCGGTTACACTCCTTTAATTTTTAAGAGCAATTGGACCTGAGAAGACTTCCGTGAAATACAAATTTGTGTATGCTGAGGACGTCTATTAATTTCTTATAATAATCTAATTTCTCTCATTTATAATTCTTTAATTGGAAAAGATGGTTTATCGTCCTGACTATCTCTGTTATCTGTATCTTAGAACAAAAAGTGTCTATGTCTACAACTTTAAAATTTGAATGAAATATGAAAAGCTAAATGTCACCGAATCGTTATCTTTTGAAATTAAATAATAATGAGAGTATATTTGCTACTTAATCTATAATACAAAGTAAAAAAAATTTGGACGTTAGTCCTTTTTGTTTCCAAACTAATTAATTGTTTGTCTCTTTAAACACGCATTAGTGGTCTTGTTTCTTTTAATTTTAATTTTGTTTTATTTTAATTATTTAATTCTTTACTGATGTAAATGTTATTTCGAAATAGGAAACCGTACCGGTTGAGGCGCCTACACAACCTAATCAGGCTCAGTATGTCATGGTCGAGATGCAACAAACAACAGTTCAGCCAGAAGCTCAACCTGAATATCATATTCAGTCACAGCCTCCAGCTCAGCAGCAAGTTGGTATGTATTCACCATGTTAGGTAATTGTTATTACAAATCGAATTCGGTGTAGTAAAGAGTTCTAAACTCTGCATTTCCACTTTTCATTAAGCTGACCAATCAACTGAAAACAGTTATTATTTAATACTGAAGCCAATCTATGGTTCCTAAAATAATGAAAAAGGTCTAACAACGAGGGGTTATCTACCTGGTATCACATATTTCAATAAAACTTTTTTTGTGATACTAGATAAAAAAATATGACTCATGTCAATAGTTCTTGCCAATAAAAAGAATTACCTTAGAGCCAAAAAATAAAATGTTTTGGAAAATTTTATTTATTTATTTTATATTTATTTTTTCTGACTTGGCAAGGAATTGTTTTAATGTGAAATAAGAAAAATATATTGCTAATTGTATTAAACAAATTCTAATATATAATATATTACAAAAATGCATAGATTCTTCCAGTAAAGTAGATCAAGTAAACCTTTGTAAAAACAATTTAAATTTGTTTTTAGCAGCATCTGTTTGAACTGTAATAAAAAATATTAATTTTTGGGCTTAACTTTATTGGAGGATTTTTTTTCATGCAGTTTACTTGAATATTCATAATGCCTCTGAATTTTCTTTCAAGTCTCTTCAACTGTTGGAAAGATAAGTTATTGTTTGTTAAAACCGTATCAATAACTTTTAGAATTTATGCCTTTATAAGAAATAAATTAATAAATTTATAAGAAAAATTCCCAATTTATTTGTGGGTTTGCTGGTTCATGCAATATGCAGTTGTATGTATATGATGGGCTCCTAAGTTCATGCTAATTTTCATCTAGTCAAGGGGAGCCATATTCAAGTTATAATAAATTTCAAAGGCTCAAGCTAGGCAGAAATTTAGAGAAAAACATTTTTATTTTTCGATTGTCATAAAAATTTGTAGTCAAGGGTTTATTAAGGTATGAAATATTAATAAAAAGAATAAAGCCTGTATTGGGCATATTATACCTTGAAATATTTTTTTTTTTTTTAAAGAAAGATACTATTAATTTTATAAAAATCCGAAAAAAGAATTTTCGTTGCAATCGTAAAATATAATTTTTTTTGTCAATATTTTGCCTTCTGTTATATTAATTCTATTTACAGTTCTTACTGGATCCATCTATATTTATTATTCGAACGAAATATGTTTATTTTTCTATTGCAATAAAGGTTTTCCATTTATGTATCAAAACATAGGTTAATTTAAACAAGTTAAAAACTCCAAGAGACAGTTAATATAAATAATATTTTATGGCTTGCTGTTCCTTATTAGCAGCTAGGACTGATAAAATTTACAAAGGATGTCTGTCTCTAAAACATTTATTGATTGTCAGCAATTTCTTCCCCGGTTCCTTGGTTTTTGAGAATAGTTATTCGGAGTAGCCAGTTATTCTCACAAGTATTAATTACAGTTGTATTCATTTTTAAAGTTTCTATTCAGCTACTTCTTTTATTATTTTAGTGTTGCCTGTGCAATTAAAATTATGTTAATTTACTAATTTTTGTGTTCTTTAGCATCGAACGAGCCTAAAACTTATGCAAATTTGGTGAAACAAGGCCATCATGTCGGAGGAACAGTTTACTATAACACAAGTCCTGTGACCTCTCAACCTCCTGCTATGCTTGGTGCTGAATCAACGTCTCCTCCGGTTAGTATATTCAGTTAGTCATAATGTTTTAAACAATGCTCATATATTTAAATTATTTTTCTATGATTGATAATAACCATAGAATAAAACAAACGTTCTCAAGAATTTCCGAATTGTTACCCTCTATTTGCTTCACCCTCCCATAATAGTTGACAGAAAATTAGTTGATTTTTTTCAAGATAAAAATTTTGGTTTGGAAAATCTTTCCTGGGTCCAGTCAACCATGCACTTTTAAATTTTGTAAACGAGAATATAACAGGAAAGTTATTTTGTGGAAAAACACTCAAATTTCTACACTCTCAGAGTTGAGATTTGAGTGGTGACATGAAATATGAACACACCAAATAGAAATAGCACAGAGGGGAAACATTTAGTTTCCACTACAAACATTTTGACAAGGTAGAAAAATGTTGATCAGACTCAAGTTTACATGTTGAGAGTCCATTTTACAACAACAATAGAACCTCATCGTTAACAGTTTTAATGAGAATCAACGTATGTCTTAACGATTTTCTCATTACGAATTTATATTGTGGGTATATAAATGATATAATATCATTTATGACAGCTATTATATACCATAGATTCTATTTTGTCCATTAATCTGGTACTGGTTCAAAAATATTTCCAATGGTGAATATCACAATTACTAAGTTGTTTCAGGAATAAATTTAGAACTGTAGGTCTACATTGGGGATAAATGAACGTTTTTATGTTGAGTTTCCAATACTATCTTTTCTATTGTGTATGATCTAATCTGGGGCAGTTTTCTGGATGTTCAATAATATGATTATTTGAAGGCATCAGCCCTTTTATCCTAAATCAGGAAGAAAGATCTGTTTCTCGGAGCTCCCTGAATTACTCCCCATTCTATCCTAGTTTATTGAGTTAACTTGGCTATGTTGAACAAGTTACAAGATGTGAAATTATTAAGATTGTTGAAAGAGTTGGTTTACTTGAAACCACCAGTGCATATTTTTGACTGATTGAGATATTTTGTTAGTGTTACTTCACAAATTATCAAAAAGTATTTGTGTATTTTAACATAAAAAATTAATAGACTAATTTTTTAATCATTTAAATGTTTAGCCGCAAACAAAAGCTGAAAGCAAAGGATTTGATATGAAGTCTAACTCCAATCAACAACCTAGGCCCCAGCGCAATGATATTGCCCAGAGGAACAACTATAATTCTGTTTCCAGACAGCAAAACCATGATGATTCTACAAATGGTAAGTTTATTTATTGGATTAATATATTTCAAAATAGTTATTTAGATTCAAGAAAAGCATTTTGTTAATAAATATCTGTATTAAAGTGGCCCAGAATTAGATTCAAAATGATTTTAAGGCATTAACCGGATGCCTTGATAAATTTAAAACACAAGCATATAGATCCTCCTTAAATCCAAAAATCTGCTGAGACGACTTTCCAGTTGACGGTCCTGAAATTATCTAAAAATGCTGTTTTAAGGATATTTGCTTATTGCCAAGATACTTCCTTCTCAATATTTTTTGTGAACATATATTACAATGAAACTTAATAAAAATTTTTAGTTTTCATGTATGGTTTTGTCATTTGCATTTTTCATATGGTTAAATTATACATCCTTTTTTTTTTTTTTAGGAAACAGTTACGGAGGTGATGGTGATAGAAGAAGAAATAATCAATATTCTGATAACCATCAAGTTTTCGTTGGAAATATTCCTCATACTGCATCTGAAAGTGAACTGAAAGTAAGTCACAATATCTGGTCTCTTACATAATTTGTAAAAACACTAATGGCAAAATATTTCATTTTGTAGTTTGCTTAGTATTTTTTTTTTTTCTTTCAAATTATTCATACACACAGTATGTCTAATTTCGCAAGTTTTTATTTAGTTTTATAAGAATGTTCTTGTATATGGAAGTGGCTCAAGAGTGAAAAACCTAATATGGAAAGACTCTTGGAGCAGATTAAAGTTGTTAAGAGAAATGATTCTCTTTCTTAACAGCTTTCCATGAAATACTACACTTAGGTGAAATATAATAAGAGATTAATGTTAATTTTGAACTTAGTGAAATTATTATAAATACTTTCTACTGACACGTTCATGTTTCGCTCTATCAGACGTGCCTAATAAAGCTAAAGAACTAAAGCTTACAATAAAACTTTATTTAAGTTATATTCATAATATTGACTTATTATATTTATATTATTGGATTTAAGTTATTTTGTCATTAAATTAAAGTTCTGTTCATAATGTTATTAATTTTAATTGTTATTGAAATTAATTTTTCAATTAATAAATGTGAAATTTTAATTAATTTAATTTAACTATATGGCAATTTTTCTAGTTACTTAGCAATCCAAATTTTTTTTGATATTATACACTGCCTGATAACACAGCTAAATGTGTGCTACCGGTGATACGTTTCAGTGTGAATGTGTTCATGAAGTAAACTTGTTGACATATCATCTATTCCGAACAAAAGTGTGTTAACTAAAAAAAGACTTTTCTAATGGAAAAATGTAATGCAACATGTTAACTTTCACTTTTAAAAACCATATTATATTAAATTAAATTTAAATCCATTTGGGTGTGCCATGAATCTCTTTTCTTCTTACCTAGTTGCCTGATTCCAAACGCTCCCCTGAAAAATTTACTTGTTTTGAGTTAATACACTTTTCTTCGGCAATGATATGTGCCTTACACTTGACAAAATGACTAATTCCGATTTCAACATTTTTTATCATTAATTTTAGTGATATTTATTTCTAATGGGAAAATTTATACATTTACACAGTTCTATATTTTAACACTGCGATCACTTATTCTGGAATCAACATACTCAATGTCTGTAAATAGTTTCCAACTAGAAATATTATTATAAATTGACTAACCAAAATTGTTGAAATTGGAGTTAGTCATCCTTTCTACATAAAGGATCTTAGAAGAAATTTATATTGTATATTTTAAAATTTTAATTATTTAAGTTTTAACTTTTTTAATATTAAAAAAAAATCAGTTATGTTCATCAATAAATAATATTGGTTCTATCAAACTATATTTAATTATTAGTATTCTATTATTGTGATTGATGGCATGCTTAATTTTCAATGTAAGCTCATTACAATATATATATATTTTTTTTTAGGAGTTATTTGGCCAGTTTGGAAACATTATCGATTTAAAAATCCTGAGCAAACCGGGCAACAAAGGACCGGGAATGATGAAATTACCATTTTATGGTTTTATTATTTTCGAAGAAGTTAGTTCTGTTCAAGCCGTTCTTAGTGCCAAGGTAAGTTATCAATTATTTCAGCTTAATTTGTAGAATTTTAAACAATAATTTTGTGTGTGACTTGAGTGCCCGTCTCCCTTATAAAGCTTTAATATGATAATGCAATAGTTTTAGTGTAACTTTTTGCATTTCTCCATTATTATATTATTGACAATCATTCATGCACCATCTTTATATTGATAGAATTTCTAAACTACTACATCTCCATTAATTTGAAGAAATTCAATGAAGTCGGTAACCTTGTAAAAAGGAGTTCTCAGTTGTATCAAGTGGTAGTCTATTTTTTTTTCTTGTATGGAATGTATTAGATATGCAAAATCCAAGTTTTTGACCTCTTCAGTCGTCCATCCCTCTCTCCGATAATTTTTGAATATACTAAACATATAAGGCAACTTAATATAGCTTATTATTAATAACAGTTTAGATAGTTGTTAAACAAATCTAGACTTTATTTCCATGAGTAAAATTTTGTATACATAAGATAATGTTCTACATTCTATATCTTGTTGATTTATTCATAAAAACCTTTAGGATGAAATTTTACCAACAACCCACTCACATCCTTTCAAAGCGGATTGTAGCCTATTTTCTCATTTTCGCAAGTTTTACTTTTTGTATCTAGGTAAACATTAGGACTCCCACTAATAGTCTATAAATTCTTGAATTGGGGCTTAATATTACCGAAGCGAGATTTAGTTGAGTAACTTTGTACATCGTAAGCTGTTTTAAGTGGTGGTATTTTTATTATTATTTTTTTTTTTTTGTATGGGTTGTGTCTAAGATGTATAATAAAAATTATATACCTCAGCGGCCCTCTGGATCACTTTAGAACTTCACAAAAACTTTTCACAATTTTTCTTTTTTTTCTATTTTGACCATGAAGGGGCACGTAATTGAGAAAAAACATCCTTACACATTTAAACTAGAAATATATTAATTACAATTAATACTAATATTGATACCAGAATAAATTTTGATTTGCTTCGCTCATTCCTGGTATTTCTTAACATCTAATGTGGGTGCTATTAGTTTAGCTCACAGGTGGGGAACCAACAGACTGTGGGCCGCGTGTGGCTTTAGTGAGCTAGCTGCGACTCCCAAACATTTTTGTGAGATCTCCATTATTCTTGCTCTATAATTATTTAGGTTACGAAAATTTGATAATTCATTGAATTAGGTAGAATGTGTGTACTTCTCAAAAATATCAATGGCGAAATATAAAAAATTATTGTGTTCTCCTAATAATAAAAAGGTTCTCCACCTATGGTATAGTCCATAATCATGTTTTACTATTTTGGCTAAAAATATTTTAAAGTACTTCTCTTTCAATAATTTTTTGTTTTTTCAGCCTATAATGTTTCCTGACGAAAGCGGAGTGAAGTTGAATGTAGAAGAAAAGAAAGCTAGAAGAGGAGGTGAAGGAGGCGGAGGTGGCAGGGGAGGTAGAGGGGGTTTAGTAGGCCGTGGTGGGGGAACTCCACCCAGAGGTGGGCCTCGTGGCGGAGGTGGAATTAGGTTTAACACTCCTCTCCAGAATCGTCGCTAGCCCTAGCCTCTCCATCACCTTCTCTCATCATCACCACGTCTTCATTCTCTCTGTTCTTTCTCTCATCTCTTTTTTATCGTCACAGATCAATAATAACAGGCAAATAAGGATCATCGTAGATCCCTAAATCGTTCTCATGACCTTAAATAATCCAGTGCGAAAATGTTAAAAGTGATGTGTTAGGACTTAATAAGAAGTCTTTATTGTATATTGTTGAACATATAGCCAATAATTTTAAGGTAGTTAACAAAAGATGTTGGAAAGCCTTGTTTTTGTACAAATAGTGTTAGCGTTGAGGATGACGTATTAGTAATTTTAGTTACACACGATAATATCGGCTATCATCATGCCTTCACCTCAGCGCGAAGAAAGTTCTTGTAAATCGGTTTACAGGAATTTCGCAGCTAAGTCAAAAGTTTAATGTTAAAGTATATTTCCATTTTCAGACAAAGGTTCATATTTTCCAGTTTATGTGTACACTCTTCTTGTGGTTGTTCATTACTCAGAATACGACTGTGAAGCATTTTTATCAATAAAGTGATGCTTTTAGTTTCACCAGAGTGTAAAAAGGACTATTGATGATTATTTATATTTAGTTATCTAAAATTCTATTCAAATGAATTCCTTTTTGTATATTTTAGATTTATTAGACAATGATAAAAGAATGTTTTTGTTCAAGAAATCATTGCTTTTCCTATTGCTAATAATGAAACAAAATCTGCTTTTGTTTCTCTTTTTAAATATTATTTTTTAGCTGTATGATAATTAGTTACCAAGATTTATTTCTGGTTTTCTTCAATCATTTAATCTCCTCTTCCCTTTCCCCTCTGTATCAATGTTTTGAAATAATAGGAAGTATGGTGTTCTAAATTTTTGTTCTTTTTTTTATATATATTAAATTTGTATAGTTATTAAATTCTGAATTCTTACTAAATTGTATATAGATTTTCTAATTAATTATGTATTGATCCAACCTCTTTAACAGGCTTCATAACTTTATGGAGTAGGTGCTTGAGACTATTAAAATATATGTATGTATTAATAGTAAACAAGACACAGTTTCAACAATTAGGAAGGTGTGTGTTGAGGCTGTGATGTATTTTTTAGAGCATTTTTCTAAAACTAAATGTCACACTACCTTTTTGTAATTTGTTAAAACTGCAGTAGCTTGTTACATAACAAAATTAAAATTTGTTTTAATTTTTCGTAACAAAAACTTAATTTAGAATAAATTGTTTGAGTAATTATTGCTCTTTTACGATGTAAACTATATTTTCTAATTATTGCAAAAGGTAAATTAGTTTTTTTCTTTAATATTGAAAATTAAGAGATATTAAATCAACATGGACTAAGCTCGCTTTCTAAGAGCACAGTGCCATTTTAATTTGCCAAAGCTGATTTTAATTTCATTTTCTTCTTATTAATTTTTTTACTGTACTTTTTATTTTCATTAAAACGCTTTTGTTATTTTATATTGTTTCTTTGCCCCAAACTTGTAACTAAATATTTTTTTCTTATCGTAAAATTGAAATCTGAGGGATAGCTGGTGCACACCAATTAGTGTTACTCTTCTATGTTTTTTTTTTTTCACTAGCTATTTATTTTCTAATGCCTCTTCTTCAATGTATAACCTATAGCAAAAATGTAAACTAATAGATATGAACCTTGCTCACAGGATTTGGAAATAAAATTCTTTGATCTCTTTCAAAGTGTTCAAGTTGTGTTGTGTTATAATCCCCCTTATACCTTGTTTTATTTATCCTTAATATGTCTTACAAAATCATGTGAATAATATATAGTTTTAGCATTTTTTTTTTTTTTTAAATCTCCATAATATTAGTATTATTTAAACGAGCTGGAGTAAATAATATTCAAGTTGGTTAATGCATGGTTATGATCAAAGTGTATATGCCTTGGCCATAAATTAAAGGCTATTCCCTTTCTTCATATCTAGTCCTGTTCCCCCACTCTTCATTTCTGGCCATCAGTTACTAGTTAGGGTATATTTGTTAAGACCTATATCATCTAATATTGTTTATAGATACTCATAAACCTCAAACAAGGATATTAATATGTCTTTATCAATTTTCGTTACTCCAAATTATTTATGCACTTATAAAGCTAGAGAAGTGTACTTCTACAGGCAATTACGATCTGTATAGTATGGTGTGGCTGTTCATGCCTATTACCATCTGTTAAGATCATGGCATCAACATAAGATGTGATTTCTATTCTCTGTTTATTTATACTAGAAATTCCATGGTGTGAAGATAGTTTGTTGAGAAGTAATGAATACACCCAGATCGATTTATTACAAGAATTGAACGGGAGAATATTTCTATAGTTTCTTGAGAATGTTTGAATTTTACTAAAAAGTTTGGCATTTGGATAATATTTGATTAAAACCCTAAAAATTAGCCAGTTATCAAATAAATAAATATTAATTTTGTTAAAACTAAGGAACAAGACAATTGTCCGTTACTCAGTTTTTATTTCCAACATTTTTTTATTTTGTTCGCCATGATTAAAGAAAACGCTAGTTATTGATTTATTTTGGTAGGTATACACCGAAATATAAATAGCTTGATAAATACATAAGTTGATAATTTATATAATCATTTAAACATTTTCTGCCTTTAGTAAACCTGTTTTTTTACTCCTTGTCCTATTGTTTTGAATTCGTGTGACCTATAACATCTATTCTCAGTTAATTTTTCATTTTTATGTCTTTAAAAAAATCAATATAACTAGCTGGCCATGTTCAACATAATTAGTTGTTTTATCAGTCCATTTAAAATGAATGCCTTAAAGCAATTTTTTTGAAGACAACAGAGAATAAAAATTATTTTATGGTTGATAACTATTCAGGATGCAGTCATTACAAAGCTTTTATTGGTGCCGACGTTTCAACTCAAACATGTGGATCATCATCAGGGCATGGTTCAAGCACTAAGTACCTTCAGTGCTTGAACCACACCATGATGATGATCCACATGTTTGGGTTAAAATGTCTGCACTAACAAAAATTATAACTGAATAGTTATCACCCATAATATGTAGAACAGTCGACTAACTTCCTCCAAAAATTATAAGGTTGAAGGATAAGAAATATATATATATATATATATATATATATATATATATATATATATATATATATATATTTCTTATCCTCCATATTACTTTAACGAACTCAGTTGAAAAATGTTCTAGAAACACAAACCTGAGTATATATATACATAACATGAGTATATATATACTCATGTTTGTGTTTCTAGAACATTTTTCAACTGAGTTCGTTAAAGTAATATGGAGGATAAGAAAAATATCGGATAAACCATATTAAATATTTTTTTAATATAATAACAATGTACTAAATATAACTTCAGTTGAGACATTTCCATAAATAAATATTTTTTAAATATATCTAAATTAAATGTATAATTTCCTTTCAGAGTTCGTTCGTTAATGATATTTGATCTATAAAAACATAGATAAAAAGAGTTTTCTTAACATTAGTATAACCAGCTGATGAATGCAGAATCCATTCACATGAAACTAATTATGCAGCTGCACAAATGTGAGATAAAAGTGAAGATGACTCATAAATTGCCAATGGCTTCTTGCTTATCTCTACTCCACTTCCACCAGGCAGTCAAATCTAAATAAATACTGTTCAGTATTAGTTGGATAACTTGAGACTGATGTGCTTGAATATTTAAAGTAATTTTTGATAAATTATGTATATTAATATGTGACTAAATTATTTACTCTTAGCACTTCATATTCACATTTAGGAAATAATACAGTAAATAAAAAAATGTATTTCAAAATCTTATTTAATTAATCTGTGGTTGAGATGTTTCAGGACAAAGACTATATTAAAATAAGAAAACAATGCTCAAATTCAAAACATGTCAATAGAATATATTTGGACTACTTTCAGGGAAATTAAGGTGGGAAACACCCTCCTTTAAAATAAATAATTTTAGTTTGATATTTTATTATATTAAACAAGACAAGATTTGTTTTATAATGGTAGTTATTTTATATTTTTGAAGTCATCTTCCATAAATGGAAACCTAAAGAATTCTTCATGAAACTGTTTAGTAATGCTATTAATAGTCTCATTTTTAATATATTTAAAAGATAATATAAAAGATTAAAATTAAATATTAAAAGATATTTTGACCTTAATTATTGACTAATCATATTAATTATATTCATTATTTACATGTTTTTATTTTCATGGTAATTAACAGTGCAGTAAATGTTTTCTCATGATTTAATACAATTTTTTTTTCCATTGTTTGAGTTTTCATTGAAATTTTTAATATTTCTCAATTGCATATTTAATAAAAATAAAAATCCCCTTGGACTCCAGTATTTTGTGATTTTCATTTTGATGTTTGATATTCCATGTAAAACCGAAAGATTCCTATGTCCATTGGTCTTAGGACATTAAATAAAATATAGAGCCTTATAAAGATTTTTTTTTGGCTCCCTTCCAAAAAAATTTTAGTCAGTAATTTAGGAAATATTACCTCTTTATTGGTTAAAGGCATTTGAATATAAATTTCTTCACTTGATTTTTTCGAAGTATTTATAATAGAACTGATATTGGCTGTAGTGCTAAAGTCCACTCCAGGGGATGCCTTCCACTTTTTAGAAATTAAAAAAATAATACAGAGCCTGAGATAAATCAATTTTTGGCTATAATAAAGTTGCTGAATTAGAAATAAATAGAATGAAATATAATTCAAATATTGAGCAACATTGGATTTTAGGTGTATCTCTGCCTTAATTATTTTTTTTATTCTTGGGAAGAGAGAGTTGGTTACCAATTTTTTAAGGCCTCCATGTAGCGGAACTAGAATTTATTTAAAGTTTCCAATTTATACATATAAAGTAAATATCTGTAATAGTTATGATGTAGGAGAGTTCAATTTCCTAGGAGATACTGAAGTAAAAAGCTTGTGAAGCCCAGTAAGGCTGTTTTTAGACATGAACAACATTTCAGTATTTTTAGTCTGGGATAACATAAACAATGTGTGTGTGCAGTTTATATGTTCACCTATTTTAACTATTCTACTTTTAACAAAAAATGAACCCTTGATTAGGCGAGTTTAATTATTAATGAAAATCAAAAGTTATATTATTTAAATTGAGAATGGAATAGTTAAAAAAATTAATGATTTATGAGGTCATTGCACCCTTCTGTACCCCCATCCACCTCATTTCCGCATCTTTACTTCAAATTATCTCACTGACTTCATATGAACGTATTAAATAGCAGTTTGTTATAAAAAAAAGAAATAATAGAAATTATTATTTTATCGTTATTAATCTATTCACCGAAAATAAAGAACCGTTTTCGACGAAACTTTTAGAGACATTTAGGTTTCAATTCAGAGATGCAATGGTTTGTTCACTAACCAATATAATTCGCGAATTTTTCAGAGGAGGGGCCTAGATCTATAATTATTTATACTCTCAATATTATATACTAATGATCACTAGTGGATCCAGGATTTAATTTTTTGGGGGGGGGAGCTTCAGCCGGAAAGCCTTTTTTTTTTACATGTATTTAATATATAAAAATTTGAAAAAAAAGAAAGAGAGAAACTAACTACCTATATGACATGATGTTTTAAGTGATTCTTGAAGTCCTATTAAATGTAATGACAATAATACTTTAAGAGATAGTTTTTAATATTTTTTTTCTATAAAACATGGTTATATTTTACCATTTTTGGAGAGAGGGGCTTCAGCCCGAAAGCCTCTCCTCCCCCCCTCCCGCCGTAGATCCTCCTGTGCTAATGAGTTTCTGGGTAAAAATAATACAATAATGCATTTTACCATAATTTCATTCACTTTTCATTTCTGGCGTAGTCTATTATCACAGCAGTTAATGTTCAAATGAGTTACACAATTTCGATTCCATTTGAACAGAATATTCATAATTTTATATATTTTTTTCACTAAAAACAATAGTGTTCAATCAATAAAACATAGTAAGTAGACGGGCGTACCTCTGTAATATTTAAAGAAAATAATAAATTGGAGTAAATTTTATTGAATGAAAGGTTTGAATAAACGTTTACTTACTGGAATGACTCATTCTTAAGAATAGACGCTATTTTAGAGTCAGTAGTGAGATCATATTGTGCTTGCTTTGCTAAGGCTGCAAAGGGATTCCAGATAATTTGTCAGAGATTGTTTTAGATACATTATATATATAATGATAATGTTGAGTGGCCACATTTTGACGGTGTCATAGGCGCCGGTACTTACGAAATATTAGGGGGCCAAGATGAAAGGAGAATGAGGATGAAAGTTTTATCATAAAACAACATACATAACGAAGTAGCGTAGTAATAGTTAATTTCTTGTGTTTTAATATCTTTATGTATTATTTATAGCCCTTGGTACAGACCCATTTTTATGAAATTATTAACATCCGGCTGAAACTTCATAAATAGCTTCATCTCATCGTAACCTAGAAATATTTTATTTAAGAAATTAAAACTCGTAAATACCCATTTGCTTTACACTTTAGTCGTTAGATAACTTGAGTACAAAGTCGAGAAAAAAGGTGACCTTCAAAAATATTGAGCCGTTTAGCGTGACATACACTCCCAAATTGTCAAAATAACGAGGTTATATAGGTCAAACGGCTCAATGTTTTTGAAGGCCACCTTTTTTCTCGACTTATTGATTAAATTATCTTACGATTGAAGTGGAAACAAATGGGTATTTACGAGTTTTTAGTATCTAATTAAGTAGACAAAGTTTGCCGATCTTCACATTGAAAACTCCCCAATTTCGAGAATTTTCGTAAATAAAATATTTGTAGGTTACGATGAGATGAAGCTATTTACGAAGTTTCAGCCGGATGTTAACATAATTTCATAAAAAGGAGTCTATACCGCGGACTATTATGTTAAAAGTATCTTCGTCAATTCCTCATAAAATCCTCTGATTTAGTCCTCATTTTCTTCCGGTTTGAATAATCACATCCTAAAATTTTTCAGCACGATAGAAGTTATGAAGGAACGAAACTTCATGTTCATATTTTCAAATAACACAAAAAGTATCATTTTTTTTTTCTTTTGTGTCAATGATTATTTGAAAGATAAACTAAATTACCCACAAAACAAAAAAATCATTGAATTCGGACCATTATTAGCTGAGATTCAGGTTATTGTAATTTATAAACATTTTGATTTAGAACAACAATGAAGTTTTATAATATATTTCTTTTACTTTTTCGATTACAATTACCGAAAAAGTAGGAAATGATTACTTCTTCTTATGGTATATTGAATTATTTAATTTTCTTTCTTTTCTTTGTGATGTATTCCAAAAACTACCAAGTAATGTATTAATTCTTAAAGGTGTTTTTTTTTTTTTTTTCGGTGCGCCGTATATTCGTTAAGTCTTTATCATATGCAATTATTGAGCCGTCATTTTGAAAAATGTGTTCCCCTTTAGGTGAGAAAAATAAAAAAAATCTACAGGAAAATAAGAAAAACGTTGTCATGAGAAGGATATTTTATTCGCACATAATTCAGAAAGTATAAAGCAGAATTTGAAATGTTTCCAAGTTTCCTGCAACAAAAAAATCATGCATATCTGGTTATTTCTAGCAAACATACAGCCAATTATATTTTGTCAATGTGTTTTTGTTAATTATTTGGAACGAATTGCTGTAATTGACCGAGGGAAAAAAATTCTCCTTCTTATGATGCGCTCAATTTATTTCCATATTGTATGTCATTTGTTCACTGATAAAGGTACTATGTGACTAGTAATATAATTATCTAAGCGGTTACTTGAATTTTTTTGAGTAAATGATTACAAAATTACGGAGGGACTGTCTTCCGTTTTCGTAAAAAGAGAAAGGACCTCTTCGTACCGGCGCCTATGGACGTGTTTTTGAATTTTTGTTGAGGTTAACTAAGTTGGGAGTTTCTAAGGTGAATAAATGCTACACTTACATTGATAGATACGACCTAAAATCACTTCTAGAACACGAAAATCGAGTACTTAAATGCGTCACGATACACCGTACATTTAAAATGAGAGAAACATTTAAAATAATATTAGTCTTATACGTTTGCTCAAAGTAATAAAACACTCATTCGATTTAGCAAGGAAGAGTCAAAAGTTTTTAATAAAAGGTAACATGATATTAAGTTTTCAATTTCATCTAGAAATCGCCAGAACTAGCTTCGGTTGCATTAAATTGATCTTATCGAAGGTTTAGTTTACTGACAGAACTGATTCAGCATTCCGTCAAATGAGCTATTAACAGGACAATTAGTTATCTGAGGTCCAGGAAGTATGAGGATAAAATGACGTATAACAAGTTTTATTATTAATTAGAATATAGTCAAAACTAATTAACTCAAAACCTAAATTGAAAAAAAAAACAGTAAAAATTTCTAATAATTTAAACTATCTAAAAATATATCGATAACCTTTATATTGTAATAAATAAATTGATCGTTTTTAAGGTTGAAAATAAATTTAGAAATAATAATATTAATATATTTTAAGTGGTATTTTTATTTTCAATCGTAATTGATACTAACTACCACTCAGCCATCCTGATTTTTTTCTCCTTCATGACTTATTTCCGTAGTGTAATATCTTGAAGTAAATTAAAAATAATATTTGTTGTGTGGAATATTTATAATCTAATAAATAAAGTTCTGTTTAATTTTTTTTTATTTATTGTACATCGAGTGTGAATGTGATCTATGAACACTGAATTATTTATAAATGTCCTTTGACTTTGAGGAAGATTGTAATATTTTTCAATAAACTAGTTTTAAAAATAAATAAAGTAAGTACTTGTGAATTGGTTAGGCGATCTGGAGATGGTTGGCGTGCCTTAAATTATGCTACTGTTTGGAAATTGTTTTTTATTTCCATTGAGTTGATTCATTTTTTACTAGTTGCATTACTTACATATATTATTTGTTGATACTATCGTATTTCATCATCCTATTCTGTTTAGATTTTTATTTCTTCGTCATTGCAGTTTACACTATTATGTTTTCTTAAATTAATTTAGTTTCCATTTGTTATCAATAAATAACTCAAATGGAGTTTAGGTAGGTATGGCGTTTTCAAGTGATGTAGCATCAATATATGCTTGCTGATGTGAAATATGATATGTTCGGTCTGCATATACGTGATCTTAGTTGATACTTTATAAACTAAATGCTCTGTGTTTGTAATCTTCTAATTCTGCTCCAACAATTAATGTCAGATGTTAAATATTAAAAAGATTGAAAGGAGATATAGACTCAATTTTTTTTTCTAGTGACCCTTTGAAAACTTAAGGTCAATGACAGTTCCATTCCACTTGAATAAGATAACATCATTGATGCAAGATAAATATAAATAATGTGACTTAGTCGACCAGATGAGCTCAGGGCCTGTAGATTTTTTTTTTCTCTTTATTTATTTATTTTATTAATTAGACTATTTCAAAGTTCGTTGTACTGTTATTCATAAGTGCTTAAGCATTTTCCGCATTCATAGTCTACTTTTTGTTTTTTAAAATGTTAAGGGGGAAAGATGGTGGAAACATGTTAAGAGGATGGCGGTGGAAATCTCATCAAATAAACCGTTATTTCAAATTTTTAGTTGATTTCGAATAAATTTATTATTTTTAAATAAGCTTTTTTTATTTTAAATTGTATATATCACTAATATAGTTGAATTATTTATAGGCTAAAATTAATTTTACGATTTTAATATAAAACCTTTTAACAGTCCTTTTTAATTCAAAATTTCTTGTTAATATTTAGAAATCGTTTGCGTAGTAAAATTTTATTTCTGTAAATTAATTTTTGAATTTAAATATTTCCTATAACATGTTATTTTGAAAAAAAAAAAAAATTTAAATTCTTAGATAAATTTATGATTTATATGTCCAATGTCTGCTTTTTGGTTTTACTTTAGTTTCAAAGACGCTGTTTCATCTTCAAGTGCTCTTCTCGCAGTTATATCAGTTCTGCTAATGCTGATTCGACTTATCTATCATGAAAACCTTTCTGTAGTATAATAGGGTTCAAATCAAGCTTCATTATTCACCGAAATATCTAGGAGCTTTTGAAGGTAACTGTTTTTATTACATACATTTTTTTTATCTTTAAAATATATTTTTTCATTTAATGCTTGCCTATTTAAAAATTCATATCTTCATTTGCAAATTCGGGAAATTCAAAGTCAATTTAATCAATCGTTCGCCCAAAATGGCGGAACAAATTATTGAAATATTTCGCAGATAAAATAATTTTTACTGATGTTCGCCGAATGGTCGAAATTCGATGATTATTGAAAATTTGAGAAAAACATAAATGAATTTGTATGTTTCGAATGTATTTTTTTTCTACTCTTTTATATGAACTTACAAAACAGTGTAAAATTAAAAAATCTAAGTTCATCGTTACTTTTATCCAAAAAACAATTACCCACTTTGCTTCTTTGGTCGGTTCAAATTGTTTCATTTTATCATTGTACTCATACTAAAGCAATATACTTTGTCATATAGCAAGTATAAATTTGTCCTAATAGAACAATCCTAAAGTATATGTAGCGAAAAAAATAGAATAAAATTATCTTATCGGACATGATTCTTGTAGTTTTCGATGATTTTTTAAGCGAAAATTTCTATAGGCGCGTTTTGGACTTTTTTGCGGAGAGAGAATTAGATTGATTCGTCAGATTTCCGAAATTTAACCCGAGCGTTAAAATTTTGGAAATCTAAATTAAAATAAAGTCGGCTAGGGTTGACGAATTGAAATGTTTTTACATATGGATAAAAATATCTCAGAAACTAAAAATCGGGCCTCCATACTGTAAGCGAGGAGATTGTTCAGCATTCCATCCTCTCTGTAATAGAATATAATTCAAAAATGTATATTAACGCAATGCCGTGTCAGGGAGGCGAATTGGAAAAAATAGTGTAGAAAACCAAATGATAACGAGGCTAGTTGAACATATCGATTAAAATATTTCAGATATTAAAAAATCAGGAAATGTTCAACATTTCATCTATATTGTAATGAGCTATTATTTATAATTAATATTTCATATTATTAATTTCCTTGTTGATTTTTTCACTTATATCGTGTGGTCTAAAGCAGACACCTTATTTATTCATCTAATTTTCCGGGATACAGTAATCTTTCAAATACTCGTAAGTTTAATGAACCAAAAATTGTGTATTTATTGAGTTATTCCCAAATAACATTTTTAATTCATCGTTATTTTCAATCTCTTTTCGAGGAAATAGTAATAAATTAAAAGAGTTTTAAGAAGAAGACTTTAGCCAAATTTCATTAAAATCGTTTTTCGTTGTCCATTACGAAACGAAAGGTCGGATGATAATAAAACGAATATAAAAACATTTCTGAATTTGATTGTAATATTGTATCAAAATTTTTAAAGTAATCGGTGAAGAACTTTCGGATATTAGCGGATTTGAATAAACATTTACATTTTTATTTATATACACTGTTTTCAATTTTTTTAAACTTGTGACACCAAAGCTCGTCAATTGCAACTAAACTGTAATAAAATGGATCAAAGAAAACTAGTTGAGAAACAGAGAAGAAAAGGGTAATGAACTGTTTTGTCTTTGGCTGTTTATATAATAATTTATTTATTTTAACAGTTTCACTATTCTTTTATTCGTCATGGAAAAAATTGTATATGCAACAAAAAAACATCTTAGAGTGACAAAAATAACAAAATAATTTTGAATCAAACGTCAATATCACTAAAATTAAATGATTTTTATCAATCAAATAATTGATCAAAAAAATAATTGCTCGTCGATATAAATCGTATGTTTGTTTTCCAAATCATAGTTTGGAATATTTAATCCAGTACGTCTTTTGTGATTTGCGTTATATCTATAGGAAATGATTGATGCAAAAATCTATGAGATATTTGTAGCGGACGTCGAATGCTGAACGGCCTCGTTTCTGAAGATAAGATTATTAATGCCCCAGAAATAGATATGTGATCTAAGCCTCTATATACATTTCCCTACTAAGGTTTGAATTTGAATCGTAATGCAATTTAAAAAAAATATATACATAGACGTTTTCGTAGTCTAAAAGTAATTAAAGTTTGTCCAATGAACGTCTGTTAGGAATTAACGAGAACTATATTAACAGTCATTAAATTTTATTTGATTGTTATTTATGCAATTAATACTTATAGAATGATGAATAATCTTATTGTACAATCATGGCAGCCATGCATACATAGTTAAACGTTAGCCCAGGTCACCGTGCGATTAAAATTTGTTTTCATCTGGATATAAAATAAGTAAGGTAAAAATACATTATTAGTAAAAACCATGTTTACCTCGTGAATTTGTAAAATGATTGTTTTGTTGTATTAAACTGCATGTTTGTATATTTACAGAAAAATATGTATGTATATTATTTTACTGTTAATATTAAAGTAGTTAATAATTACTTTAGTCACTGAATCTTTCAATAGAGATTGTTTTGAAAATTTGTTATTCTAAATAAACCATATCTTATTTAATCAAATTTTATAAGTTTAGCAATCGTCTGTAATTATTCGAACGAGCTGATAAAGATTAAGCGATGTTTTGGAAACACATAATACATTGATAGAAATATTGAGTATTTATAACAAAAAATATTGTTTGTATTTATTTATTTCTAAAATCGTTATGAACTTGATATTATATTTTTACAAAAGAGACTATTAGCACATCCTATTCCTACGAAACCATGTAGCATGTGCCTGGAGAATGTTTTCAGCTATGGCAGTAGTGGGGACAAAAGCCGCATCTGGGTGGTGGCTGGAGTACAGTAGTCCTGTCTTGTCTTTTGAGTCTGGAAGGATCTACTCCAAGGAGCGGTAATTTATATTTTTTACCATCCTTTTTTTTTTAAATAGTAGCATATATATCTATACTATATATAACATATATTTAATAATATATACGCATGTAATTGACTATAAAGATCTACAGCCATAAAGCCCTTTTTATTCAGTTAAAAAAAAAAATGTTTTGTTTCAATACTAATAACTAATTATTTGGTTTCTTAAAATTATTAAACCCAAGATTTATGAATTCTTGTCTCAATCAGAGAATTAGTAAAATATTTTATTTAATGCATATAATGTTTTAGTTTACCATGATCAATCTTATTTCATAAAATTACTTATAACAACCACTATGTATATATTTTACATATACATATCCATGTACTCACATTTATATTCATTATGACTGTAAAATATTTGTCTGTTAAAAACCCTCAATTTGATTCAATAAAAATTCAAAATAGTCTTATACAGAATAAAATTTGTTTTCTCAAATTTTTATTTCACCATTTAATGTTACCAATAAATTAAAACAAAAATATATGTTGATTACAAATATAATATATTATAACATCTTATATATGCACATAAAACTATTTTTAAGACATGTTTACAATTCCATAGAGATCTATTGTAAAAATTGTTTTGTTGAAGTACAAAATAATTAGACCTGATTCCCCAATTTAAGAAATCATAACTTGTTTCCTTAACAATCAATTTAGCCTAACTGAACTGTAAAAGCATTCTAATCCTTTAAATTACAAGATACATAATGGATATAGAAATCAAACTAAAATAAAGATATTTAAATCTTATTATGTATTAGTAAAACTTTCTTTTAGTTTAATAATTTATATGTTCAAGACTTGTCATTATGAAATTTCTTTTATATTATTGAAGCATCAAATAACTTTTATCATTTAATTTGTATTATATGTGTTTTATAATCACTCAGTCATTCTTTATTTTTCTCTGTAATAGTTTGATATTTTCTTATGATGAAGATTTTCTTTTTTTATATTTAAAAAGTTTTCCCTTTTTCCTTCTTAAATGGTAAAAGTTGCCATTGTTGCCAAAATAAAGCAAATTATTATTATTTTTTGTTCTGGTATTATTTTATTTTTTATAATTGAGATATATGACCCTCTTTATCTCACAGGAAGAGGAAGCTCTATTTTATTTGATAAAACTTGATCTTGATTTGCAAGAACACCTACACACTTACATACGACCATTTTTTAAATAATTTGTTTAAATAGAATTTAACATATTAAATATATTTATTATATTATACTTAGAACAAAATATTCAAAAGTTCTTAATTTTTTCGAGACAAACCAATAAAATTAATAAGAAAAAAAAAAACTTGAAGTACAAAATTTTATTCAAGATTTAAAGGCTTAATCAACTTTGGAACACTTAAATTAAAGCTTCATTTTTTTTTATTTTTTTTTTCAAACGAGTGTATTTCACTAGATATCATTTTCATACCAATCTAAATTGTTCTATAGATTATGTATTATATTCATACTTATTTTTTATATAGAAAAAGGACTTGAAAGAGATGAAGAAGTTATTTCTGTGGCTGTTCTTAGCAGCTTTATTACTTGTTCTTCCGGCTGAGGCAAAGGTATTTTTAGCTTTTATAAACAATTTCATGGAGACTGTAATAAAAGTTTATTGAAAACTCTTTGATATATTTTTGTTTAATTTATTAATTAATTAATGTAATACAATAACTTCAAATTGAAATTCAATGTTTTTAATCATTTTCATTCAGATTATAAATATGTAAAATTTTGGTATCGATCCTGAATAGGATTCATTGGTCCCATTTTATAAAATTGATACTAAATAAAATTATTTTAAAATACATATTATATTTTTTTTCTAGTCTGAAATAGACTTAATCATCAATTATTATAGGTTACAATAATTTCAGAAAGTCTATTTTAATGATAAATATGTAAAATAAAATTTTGTTATTGATCCTAAATAGGATTCATTGGTTCCGTTTTGTAAAATTGATACTAAATAAAATTATTTCAAAATACATTTTTTTTTTCTAGTCTGAAATATACTTAATAATTAATTATTATAGGTTACGATAATTTCAGAAAGTCTATTTCGGACTAAAAAATAAAAACAATTAGAAACTGTTATTCAAAATTATTTTTATTTAAACATTTTGATTTGAAGGATGATTTATAATTATTAAAAGTGTCCTCTGTAAATTATTTTGTGTTACATACATGTTATTCATCATAGCTATCAGTTTCAATAAACTATTTTAAAACTATGCGTATAAAACAAAATTAAATATTATTTTATATGCTTAATGTGCTGTGTAATATTTATTCACTACTTTTATTTATATATTTCCAGAGAAAAACGAAAAAATATAATAAAGAACATAAATATAACAGTGAAATTGTTCATCCTGTACTCGGTCAAAACCAACCCCTTGTTGAAGAGGAAGATCCTGATGTTCTAGAAGGTAATATCCATGTACATTTGTTGTTGGCATAAAATATTACAGTAATATTTCAGATTATTGGCTTACGTCTTTATAAAATAATCATAATTTAGTATTAAAAAATGTCAATAAATATCATGGTATGTGTTGAGTGTTTATTTATATATATAGTTTTAGAAAATGGAATCCTAAAATATTGCATTAATTGAATTTGGGACATTGGTTGACATATGATATTAAAGGTCAGATTGATATATAGTTCATCTATATATCTTTTTATTGACACAGATTAATCTCTTATCAATTTTAATATATATATTTTTTTAACATTCCTAGATGGAGCTACATATGCTAGTGAAAAAATCAATTACTAATTTGTTTTATGAAACTTAGAACTTTCCAATGAACAATATACCATAAAATATTTTTATTTTTTTACTTCTAGAGTAATAATTTAAAATAAATAAATTAAATGTATATAAATAAATGTTATTTATAAACCCATTGGTTTATTGCATGTAACCATCAAGTCCTATACATTTCTTTATAAAAATAAAATTATATACCATTTTATTTAAATACAACTTGTTTTAGACTTATTAATTTTCTATCTTTCATCACAATGTTTATTTAGGCCTGTTTGTGAATCCAAGTTTTTTTATATTATCCTAAGCTGAGGAAAATATTTAATATTTGAATTCAATGGTATTATCTGTATTGTCATAAGTCTAGGCAAATTGTTACAAAAATTAGAGTCGTTTTGATTTTTTTAATGTTGTCTGGGTTGGTAAAATGTTAAAAAATTTATATATATATATATGTAAATTCACATTCTCAGTTGGTCATTGATTCATTGTTTAGCTGCTATCAAACTGTCAGCAATAGAGAATTTTAATTTTTCATAGTTTTTTTTTTTCAAAGAACTCTATTTCGGGATCTATTACAGTGACAAGTTTTATGTTGGTTTAAAAATTATGGCACTTCCAGTCATGGGATTTATTGGAAAACTTGGATTTTTTAAAACTTTTTTCAGGATGTTTAATTTATTTATATCCTAGTGAGGATTGGAATTAGGAAAAATATATTTGAGTTTAAAAATCGATTTAATTCTATGTTTTTGGCAAGAAAAGAAGAATAAATTTAATTATATCTCAGGAAAAAAATTGAAAAGTGAGAAAAGTCAATATTTAAATACATTGTTTTCTCATTATCTTCTTTTATATATTAAATTATTTTTCACCGTTTTATTTATTGATTGAGTTTTTCCGTACTTACATGTCTGTACTTTCTCTACTGTTAGGATTAGAAAATGTTTGAGGAATCATATTTTATTAATTCGTTGCCTATTGTAATTTAAGACTAGTCATTTAATATAAGTGAATGATAAACTTCTAAACTTCTCTTAAATTAAATATGTTTATCATCTGAGTTTCCTTATGTTTAGCCGTTGACCCATGCGAGGGAAAATGCAGATCAGGACAAGTCTGTCAGCTTTCGGAAGGCGTAGCGATGTGTGTCTGTATACCCTCTTGCCCTGAAGAAGCTGACCCACGTCGAAAGGTATGTTGTTTTTTTTTATTCTTCTTTCAAACGTATATGACACAAATAGCAAAACTATGGTCTTGAAACTTGTTGAATAATTATTTTATAGATTTTTTATATAACATTGTTGTCAGAGAATGCTACTGTCAACAATACTGTGACTGGTATAACTTAGTAATAGCTATTATTTGTGGAATATGTTGAAGTTTTGTATGGTTGGAAAAATTCATAAATAAGCTGAGAATCCACAGTAAATTTTGCAATAGTCATAGAGATCATCATTAGTTCTTAACTTCAGTATCTTCTTTTAATTTTCATAAATTATGGGGTAATTGATTTTGGCAGTTAAAAGAATGAGACTTCTAGTAAGAGAATTAAGCCAAACTGAAACAATTGTAAAATACTGTTTTGCCTCTTTTAGTGATGCCAGATTAGTGATTACCTTCATCTTGGTCTTCTATTTTCATATTATAGCTTTATTCATTATAACACTTATTACTGAAACCTTGATTTTGGTTTATTATTTTCAATAATGAATGATGTACTTTTACAATAGACCCAGATAAAAAAAAAAAAAAGAATTAACTATCTTCCCTCAAATATTGAGGTTATACCTTTCAAGGTATATAGAACTAAATAAAAAAATCATTCCTCCACCATGAAGTAATGTTAATATAATACGCCATGTCATGTATTATTATTTGTTAAAATAACATCCAAAAGTTATAATATAGTATTAACCTGTAACTAGTTGCCCCGTGCGAAAAATTCACAGAAAATTTTGTACAGTGAAGAAATAGTAAAACAATGTGGAAAAAAGTAATACCTATGTATTAAGTAAGGAAGCAATTAATATTTTTTCCTTAGTCGATTACAATATTCCATTAAACATAATAGATCAAAATATTTATACAAATTGCCTTGTAGTTAATTAACCCTTTTTATTATTATATAAATACAAATATTTTCTAATCATTTACTAGTCATATTATTTATTTTCGATACCATATTATTACTTTTTATGCAGATATATATTTTGCTAATGGATCACCAACATTCCTGTAATCTAACTTCCTTTTATTATTGGCGACCTATTTTTTAACGCTGACTGGAAAGATAATAAAAGTACAAAATACAACCCCAAAATACAAGGACAAAATAATGCCCCGATCATAGGATATTTTAAATTATTAAAAAAAATAAAATTTTTGATTTAACACATCTATAATAAATAAATAAATAAAAACTCCTAACAGGTTTTCATTTTATATCTTGAGTTCTAAATTATTTAGGAAGGTACAGTTCATGTCATTTCGTGTAGTTTATAAGGCCCTGTATCCCTGCAAAATTTCGGGCAAATAGGTGGAAGAATATTGAAGTTATAACACTTTTTGTGATTTTTGAAATAAAACCAAAGGGGAGAGCCTTAGTTCAAATTTGTGGAAAATTTTTTTTATTTTTCGATCGCTATAAAAATTCGTATTGGAGGGTCTTTCCAGCTGCGAAATACAAATCTTAACTCTTTTTCTCCTTAAAAAAATATTTCAACACACTTTACTCCTTCCGTCAATACAAATTGTTTAAATTATACATATTTCTAATCAATTTTAAACGATTTTTTTTTTTTGTTTTGTAGGTAATTCAGTAAACTTTCTAATTATCATGGGTACAATGTAGAAAAAAATGCATACTTTTTGAGTTATTCGCAAATAAAGTTGCTTTTCCTCCATAACTTTTTTTCCAGAAATTTCGAGGGGATGGGACTATTTTTCGCATGTGAAGGAGAGGAATATCTACAAAATGAGTGGTCAATCATTGGATTTGATGAAGAATTGACGAAGTTATGGCGTACCGACAAAAAAACACCTTTTAGAAATAATATATAGGGTACAGATAAACATATAAAACACAACATTACATCTCACAGTGACATGCCATTATCCAAAAGCCTTCATCAGTTTTCACACTATGACTATTGCCGGATCTCTAGATTCTGGCTCTTAAAAGAAACCACGTCTCTGTCAAAACCAAGTCCACTCAATCCGAACTTATGATATTGACTTTCAGTCTTTTTATTTAAAGATTAATCTCCCTCATGCAGGCCATATTCCAGCCCACCAAAGCTATCCAAGCTTGATTGACTAGATGAGGTCAATACTGTTCTTTGATTCTTTTTAAAATACTTCTTTTAAAGACATGGTTGCTGTTCTCCTATTTTAATATTTGGTGGCTATATACTATTTACTGGCCAGGCTTGTGAACATTATGTTAAATCTGATGGAATTAAGTTTGATGTAGATAAATCTTGATTCTATTTCCCAAGAATACATTTCTAAACATTGGTTAAATTAATATATAAAAAAAAAAACTATATACATCAAATTGGTTAAGCAGTCTTCTTGTTAAAGTTTTCCATTAAGTTTTCCATAATAAATAATATAGAGACATAACTTAGAGAATCTTAAGTGTTTATGATTATCAATTTCTTGTTTCACCTAAATAATTTCTTTTTTTATTTTAGGTTTGCTCCAACTTAAATATAACTTACGATTCAGATTGTGCTATTCATCAAATGAGATGTTGGTGTCGCAGCAGTGATCGTAAATGTGTAGGAGACAAGGAGAAGCTTAGCCACATACACATCGATTATTACGGAGAATGTAGACAGCACGATGTACGTATAACCATTTCAAACTTAAAGTAAATAAGTTAATATTTTCTATATGTTACAATATATTTATTCTATTTATTTTAGGAATGCACCGAAAATCAAATGGCTGATTTTCCAAGAAGGATGAGGGATTGGTTATTCAATATAATGAGGGATAGTGCTGACAGGGAAGAACTGTCTCCTCATTATCTTAGAATGGAACGTGAAGCGGAAACTAACCTTACGAAGAGGTGGGTGAATGCAGCCATTTGGAAATTTTGTGACCTTGATACTAGCAATGATAGGTGAGTAAAAAAATATATATGAATTGTTAAATTAATATTTTTAAAACCTCTTTCTCTCGTTAAGATTTACCCTAAAACAACTGAATATAGAAAATGTATTGGATTAAAAAATTAACAGGTTTCACAAGATGGCTTATTGATACCAGTCCCAAACTGATAGTACTCTTGTCGCTCAATATTTTCTGAAATTTGCCATAACTATTCATTGTACGACGGTTGCACATTTTATGCATCTAATGGACTTAAAGCCTACATGGTCACTAACATTCAAAAGTGAATGATATTTTTACTCTGTTTTACTGAAAATCTGTGATGTTGTCTTCAATAAGATAAAAAAATAATGAAGATAACACGGTATCAGCTGTCATACTGTAATGTGAAGTTAGAAAGAAATGAGGAAGCAATACTATATATCTCAAGTTTTTCAATTTCCTTAATAGCATTTGGAATTTTATTTTAATTATGAAAACATTAAGTTCAATAAAAAAAAAAAAAAAAAATGACTTTATGAATATTATCAAAAAGTGAATAATTGTACACATAAATTAAATTATGTATCTAAAGAAATTTATATTTAAAGTTACAATAAAATTAACTTCATAATATATTAATATGTGTATATGATCTACAAAATATTATTTATTATTTAATACCTATTATAAGATGAAAATAACCTCTATTTACTTTTATTTGAAAGCAGATCGACACTAATGCGAGCATCGAAAAATTAATAATAGCTATATAAAAACAAATTATTACTGATAATATATTTTAGTACTTACTACCTACAGTGGTAAACTTTTTGATAGGTCTTATGTCATGCGTAGAAATATGTAGTCAGAAGTTATAGAAAAGCCTATAGGTTCTGCTTTTACCATATTTTATTTCTTTTACTGTTTCATTTTGATTTAATGTCAAGCTACCCAAATACTAAAGCATATTTAAGATATAGACAGAAATATTTCAAATGAAATTCCTTTTAATTTAATCTTCTTTAAATATCTTTCAATTTCTGATATTTTTATATAATAATAGGTTTTACTGAGTTCAGCTTGAAATTAAATTGTATATTAAAGCAAATTCTATAGGTTATTTTATTTATTTATTTTTTTTTACAGGACGATATCCCGACATGAAGTATTCCCAATTCGTGCTCCTCTAATAGCTCTAGAACATTGTATTGCTCCATTTTTGGATAAATGTGATGCTGATGGAAATCACAGAATTACCATGCAAGAATGGGCTTCGTGCTTGGAGATTAAGGAGGTATACAGTTTTCTTTAGAATCTTTATATTTTTATAAATATTATATGGGAATTACAAGTAAATTACTATGTATAAAATTGTTATTGGTTAATTTAAATGTCTCTAATGGGCCATTGCTTATTATTAATATGATGCTTTCTCGCGAAGAAAAATGACTTCATCTATCACCTGTCACCTGTGTTTACAAGTTGAGAACTGAGTGAATATTAAACCACTCGTTTTTAAAAGTCTTCTACACATCAGAAAGGCTTTGTTTGAATTTGATGAAATTGTTTAAGCAAATCATAGGAATTTAATTGTTTGAAAAAAAAAACTCCATTGAATCTATAGGTTTTTCGATTTTATGTCACAATATATGTAAAAGAGCCAATGTGACAGGGATAGCTAAGGAAATATCAAATTGTAACAAAGTTTTTTTGAAAGATAAAAATTGAAATTCATTAAAATGGACCACTAGTCTAAAACAAAAGCAAGATTTTTTTCTTTTAAAATCATTAAGTATTTATTATATTTATTAAAAATAAATTTTTAGATGTTTAATTAAAATTTATGAATATAATAATAAACTGTATTTAAATAGATAAATTACTTTTATATCTGTATGGGTAAACTTTCACAAGTAGTTGATCAGAGTGTTGATGAACGTGAAGTTTTATGTCCTGACACCTTATGTAATTTGATGACCACGATCTTCACTATACTCCATTTAAAGAAATCATCAATATTAGATAGATAGATAGAAAAATAACTTTATTCTGGGACACAGTCCCTTGAGAATAACAAAATAGAACAAAATTAAAATATTACATCTAGCCAAAATAAAATCAATCGAACAAAAGAAATAATGTAAAAAAAAAATATAAGGTAAAAATTCTATATACAAAACAAACTAAACTATATACAAAACCATTAATACTATGACAAGACACTTAAAGCTATTTGCTCTTATAGACCAGTATACACTTTTCCGAAAAAAATAAAGAATTAAAAAATAAAAATGTATCAAATTCTCTATTAAAATCCGCTCGAATGGTTAGCAAGTCATATAAAGTGATAATACAAAAATTATTTTATGGACTTTAATTTAATGATTATTTAAAATATACTTTAATGGAGTGTTTATTTTTAATCACTTAATAAAATTTTATATTTAAAATCTTTTATACAGGATGTCTCAGTTCTCAGAGAGGTGATCCTAGACAAAATTTTTAAAAAAAATTTTATTTGATGTATGCGCCTTTCAATTTCAAACGGAAAAGGAGTTAATTCAAATTTTGTCTTTTTTTTTAAGGTCATGTTTTTTCTTTCATAGAAAGCAATAACACAAACATTATTATTTCATTCAGGTAATTAAAAATTGCTTCGTAGTAAACTAGACAAAACTTCCTTCAAATATAAGTAGAGTTTGTCTTTGTCAAAACCATTTAAAGAGGAGTTTTGAGCGGCCAAACTTTGCTAAGTTGTACTTTTCATGGATTGTTCGCTATGTTTTTAACATACTACAACAATGCTACAGGTACCCCACATTTCTATTAAAATAACTGAATAAAATAATTTTTGTATTATCACTTTATATGAAAGAGAAAACCTGACCAGCTTAAGAAAGCCCAAAATTAGACTTAACTCCTTTTCCGTTTGAGATTGGCCCATACATCAAATGAAATTTTGTCTTTAATCACTTCACTGAGTTTAGCCATTGAGAAGTGAGATACCCTGTATATTTTGTGTAGACGATAATATTTAATTATTTTAGAAAGATGTATTGTTCTATTATAATTAACTCAGTGAACAAAAACAAGTTTTCATTTTTTATATTAGTTATTCTCCATTTCATACAAGATGAATTAACATTTTGAGGGTTATCCTTATCTTCAGGATTTTGGCATATTTTTTCTTATATATTACATAGCTGGTTTTTCGTATTCCTCATTGTCATTCTGTAGTTAAAAATGTATAATCTTGAGGTATATTTGAATTATTTAATTCATTATCACTCAAAAAAATGTTTTTATCAAATTAATTATATGCTAAAAAAAAAAAATGTTTACATAATTTGTGATAATATCAGTCTACTTATTGTTTAAAGTATTTTCCTTGGTTAAAATTTTTTTAGGTAATGAATAATGTTCACATATCAATGCCACATAAATTTATTTTCTGTTCTATCAGCCATCGATTGATGCTGGGTCCTGGAAATTGAAGTCTAAAAAAGTCATTCATATGAGAAATATTTTCTGTACACTCTACTCTATATTTTTTAAAAATATGATTGCTAGTAACCTTATTGATATATTGACTTTTGTAAAAATTATTAGAAATACTTCATTAACTAAGTATATTTTAAAACATATTAACTATAGCACACCACAATTCGATGTCATCCCAAACATTAGCTCATGGAATAACTTGAAACTAATTTTTTTTCTTTTTTCCTTATTATATTTTGAGGTTATATTTACAATTATATAAATCTATTACAAGATGATATTGTAATTTGCAAATAAAATCAAAGAGAAAAGAAATAAAACAGTTTATTGCTTCATGAGTTTGTCAATCATTATCATAGCTCCTTAGGAAAACCTACTTTATTTATTGAATCAAATAAATATTACAGCAGTTAAACAATATTTGATGTATTGATTATAACAATTTTTCATCATCATATATTCAATAAATTTTCTAATCAATTAATTACATTTTCTTGTTGTTACAGGACGAAATCGAAGACCAATGTGATATTGTAAGAGATGAAAATGATGAAGAATAAGGTTCTGATGTCTCGTCTATCCTTTTTTTGTACCAAAGTATTTTGTAACAAATAAATCCTATTTATAAAATCATTTTAGTACATCATGATACATTATTTTATCAATGTATTATTTTTTTTTAATAATAAATGTTTAGTTAAGAACTATTAACTATTTTTGATATTCTTATTTTAATTCTGTGAAAATTTATTTTTAAAAAATCACTGCCATTTATGTTAACTAATTGTTTAATTTAAGTGTTGTTTTTTAATTCACTTATGATGTAATATTATAATTTTATGTACTTATAAGGTTTTTTTTTATTTTTTGAATTAATTGATATCGATCATACATTTAAAAATAACTTGGAAAAATAAATATTTTTAAATGGTCTATTAATTTTAACTGTGAATTAAATTTAATAAGTAATTTATGATTTTGGACTGTTAAATTTCTGATATCCAGAAATAACAAACAACAGTATTAGAATTCAAACTTAAATTTGAATAATGGGTTCCTGCCAACAAACTGGTGGATTTCATAAAACAGAATTAAAATTTCTAATTTTTTTTTAATGTTTGCTAAATGGTAAGGTGGTACTAAGCATCCTATATATTATTTCTGGAACGTGTTTTTCTGTCGGTACAACATAACTTTGTCAATTCTTCATCAAATCCAATAATTGACCACTCATTTTGAAGATATTCTTCTCCTTCACATGCAAAAAATAGTCCTATCCTACCAAAATTTCTGGAAAAAAAGTTATGAAGGAAAAGAAACTTTATTCGCGAATAAGTCAAAAAGTATGTTTTTTTTTCTCATGATCGGGGCATTATTTTCTTTTTATTATCTTTCCAGTCAGCATTTAAAAATAGGTCCTAGCAAAGTAATTTGTACAAATATTTTAGTCTATTATGTTAAATGGAATATTGTATTCGACCAAGCAAATCATATTAAAAACCTTCCTCACATAATACATAGGATTTACTTATTTCCATATTGTTTTGCTATTTTTTCACTAATCAAAATTTTCTGCGAATTATTCGGACAGGCCAACTAGTTAGCCACAATGCAAAGTATTTTTTTCTGAAAAATAAGTCATCGTTCACTTGGGCTTAGGTCTTCTATGCCGATTTAATTTCTACTCATAATTTATTGAAATAAATGTGTATATATTACATGTGGGTACCGAGACACATTTTGTTATAAGAAGAAGTAATGTTGCCAACTATAGATAAAATTACATAATAATTCTGCTTTTTCATTTCTACATTTTATTGTTGATAGATACCTAAAACCTTCTATTTCTTTTTTAGGATTTAACTGCCCTTAATAGGTTCTTATAATTTATACTTCATTGAGTTTTATACCTCTGATATATCCTACTTAAAAAAAAAAAAAACTTAAGATAATATAGACTTAGATTTCTAATATCTAAGTAAGATATGCTTATTTATAAATAAATCAATGTTAAGAGAGATATAATAGCTTCTGAGAAGAAATTAAAAAAAAGATAATTCATCTGACGTTTTTAATAAAAATATGAGTAGGTTCTATCTTTTTATGAATTCTTTACTATAACTTTAACATATTGATTTTACATAGATTTTCAGTGCTAATAGTTCAGCGATCATGGTCACTAATTTATTTAACCTCAATAGACGGAGGTTAACTGTAGGCAATAGAAGTCAATTCGCTATCCTAAAGTTTATGGGTAACGATCGATCTGCAATGGCAATAGTACTTTCATTATAGTTCAAAACTTTTGTGTCTCATTGCCTAAGTAATTTCCACAAACACTATTAATTTTAGTGTCTTTTATAACTTGTAATTGATAATTTTGATTTTTTAATCAACACCAAACATATCTTATTCTAGTGAATAAAATTGTTCCTTCTCTGACATTCCTGGACCAGTAAATATATTTTAGAATATTTGAGCTATCTAATAATTTGTAATTAAAATATTCAGTCAAGATTCAGGTTGTTCAATCACAAATTCTATCCGTGATTAAGAATCAAATATCAATTTTAGTTATTAATATCTTTCTTATGTTATTTCTAAAAATGAGACTGTAGAAAACTACACTAAAAATCGTGGTTATTTTTCTTCAGTAAATTAAATATTCTTACAATATCATAGTTTAATATATAATTTATAAAATAATAATATTAAATTTTAAAATTCATTATTTGGATTTATTTTTGTTGGTACTTTACTGTAAGCAATTCATAAAAAATTTATTATTTTTTAATATATTTTTTTAAATATTTTTTTCTAGTTTTCTAGCTCATTAAAAAATGTGTATTATGTTTTAAAAAGTAACTTAGGTTTTTTACAAAGAATATTTAGACAGACAAATTTTCTTTATAACATATTATAGTTTTAGTGGTCCTCTTTGATAGATACCTACAGCTTTAAATTGTATCAGTTTTTCATTCTCATAGTTTTTAAGCGGTTTTATAAAGTGGTACAAACTTGGTTTAAGCTAGTGTTTTTTTCTTTCATATATGCTCTAAGAAAACCAAGTTATAAATCCCAGACTTATCTCACTCCAGTAAAAAAATGCAGATTATTACAAAAAAAGTCCAAAACTGGTGCAAAGTAATCCATTTTGACATATATATTTCCTTCCAATGTGTCTTAAGAAAACATGCATGGATTTTTAAGTTGACAGTTTTTAATAAAACACCTACTGGTAGAATGTCCCCAGTTTGAAAATTACAGAAAAAAAAAATATGACAAGAGAAAACACTAAGAGAAATTCTTCAAGATAGTGAAGAGCAAGTTTGTACTGTGTTAAAATTTCTAAAGTTAACAAAGTAATATGACAGGATATAAATTATAGTGAAATACCAATGACCTTTTAGGGTAGAAGCAAGTAAGAAAGAAAAAAAAAAATGTCTATTTTATTAGGCTCACTGTTCTTAATTAATATTAATTTTACAGGTTCAATGCTTATAACAGTTATATTTTTCATTCTAATAAAAATAAAGCCAAAGCTTCAGTTAATTATTTATGTGATATTCAAATTATTTATAATTATATATTCTTTACAAAAGTAAAAAGTAAAGAAAAAACATTTAATTTACAAAATCTACTTCTCTCTATGACTCTTTTGGGTTGTAGTTTATTATTTCAAGGATTTCAACATCAAATTAAGGACCACTTCTTTCTTCCTTTTTTAATCTTATGTATTTTTTCTTATTTTTTACATTTGACTATGCCAATGCCACCTTCTCCCTTCCCAGATTAATGTTATATAAATCATGATTTCTTTTCTAATAGGCATTGGCGATTAGTAATTATGGGCAAGGTTATTGTAACATGATAATAGTAGTGCATGAATTTTAAGATTAAGTAGAATGTTATCCATAGAAAAGTAGTCCAGTCATTAATTTTACATATGACACCACGGGCGGATCTACGGGGGGGGGGCTTTCGGGCTGAAGCCCCCCCCAAAATGGTAAAATATAACCATGTTTTATCGAAAAAAATATTTAAAAAGTATCTCTTAAAGTATTATTATTCGTGTAATTACATTTAAAAGGGCTTTAGGAATCACTTAAACACCATTTCATACAGGTAGTTAGTTTCTTTCTTTTTTTCCAAAGTAATTATCGTTATTTTTGTGAAAAAAAAGCTTTCGGGCTGAAGCCTCCCCCAAAATTAAATCCTGGATCCGCTAGTGTATGACACAAATATTAACTGAGTGAATCTTTTATTTTACAACGTTACTACATACTGATGGAAAGTTTTGGAACACAATTTAAAAAATATATATGTATTATTAGTCAAATATAATTTTTTCTCAAACTTCATTGATTCTTCATCAAATCTAGTTAATTCATTGAGCCATCCATGGTTTTAAAGATTATCATCTCATTCAGATGTGAAAAATGATTACATCCTTCAGAAAAGTCAGAAAAAACATTTATAAAAGAAGTAAGCTTTATTTATGTGCATAGTTGAACAAGTAAACAGTTTATGATAGGGCAGACATCCAATAATTAGTCTAAAAGCAAGATGTTGCTCTAGATGTTATATACCTAGATTTATTGTAACATGAAATAGAAACTGACGATGGAACATGTTAGATTTAGATTTAAGACATGTATCCACAAGATCATTGGAATTATGGTTCTGAAGATGGGAGTAAATATCCCGAAATGTAAACTTGTAAACATGCAATTTTGATAATACAACAAATAAATTCAATTGTTGTTAATTTGAAGTAATCGTTGCCAAATCACATAGAATATAAAGAATATACAACTTCCCAGAAAAAAAGAAGTACTTACTTTCTAATTATTGTGGATTGACGGTTGACTGTCGTGAATAACTGAAGAAAAAGATGGTTGGGGTGATCATTCAAAGAAAATGTAAAAATAAATAAGTGTATTTATTTTTATTTTTGCTGACGTTTTGGCCCAAAGTTCAGGCCTTAATCAGGGCTAAAAAAAGACCAGATAAGTATGAGAAACTATTAACATTAAAAACTTAAAAAGAAATTTTATATTTCCTGTAAGGTTATTAAATTTTATATTTCCTTTAAGATTATTCTACCTACAGTTTGTAGACTATATCTTTCACCTACACATTATTTTTTAATATTAATAGTTTCTCATACCTATTATTATCTGGTCTTTTCTTGGCCTTTATGAAAGCCTGAACTTTAGGCCAAAACTTCGGCAAAAATAAAAATAAATATTCATATTTATTTTTACATTTTTTTGGACTGATTACCTCAACCAATTTTCTCTTCAATTATTTTCTTGTTATTCTGCTATTTGTTTAATTACCAATATATTATGCTAATTATTTGCATGGAGCAACTACGATAAACTTAATATTCATATTAATATTTAATATTGTCTGTGTGACATATTGCTGCATATCTGAATAAATAAAAAATAAAAAAAAAATTGTTCACTTATAAATATTTAAAACAAAAAAATTAAAAATAGCATTTTAGATATTAGAATGATGTAGGAAGGATAAAAACGATTTAACAAGTATCGTATCATTGTAGTATTTTATTTATTTTCGAAACTATTAATTAGAAAGTTCATTATGATTAGTTAAGAAAGTTTCATGAATCTTAAAAGGAAAAAAAAAAAAAAAACGGAAATATAGTCATTTTTTTTTTGTATATTTTATTCTTCAAAACTAAAAATAATGATCACTTGTGCACAAGGCGTTATTCATTTAGAGACTTCACAACTTTTGTAAATGTTTTTCTTCTTAAGTAATTTTTCGTGTTTAACTCGTCGGTCATGCTATCAAGTTCTAACTGTGTTACATTCTCTTTCTCTGAATATAAATAATGTATGCAGGATTAAAACTTTTCTGATTCTTAATAATTGATGAAAGGATTAGGTTCATTGTTTCAAGTGTTGACAACATAAAACCTCTGTACCGAACATTTGGACACTGTTGACGCAAACAAAATTTAAACAATAATGCACAGCTTTGGGAAAGTATTTCTAGGTTATTCTTATTCCTTTAATACCTTCATAATATCTTCAAGGCCTTGTCCGATCGGTCTGCGACCTGCTATAATTCGCGATATGAGACATCGTTTCAACAGTAATCGGTCTGGCTCAATATCTATACCGAAAAATCGAGAATCTTACGTTTGTGTTAATCTTACGTTGATTTAAAGCAAAATTTCTTAACGTGGACAAGGAAGTTGAATAATTTTGTCACAAATCTTGTTGTTATTAGAATTAGTCGTTTTATCAATTATCCCTAAGCATGAGAAGAGGTTGGTCGGAAGTTGGCAGACTCCCGTTTTCGGCAGTGCCAGATGGGATGTCCTGAAGAAGAACTACAACGTAGGTCGAAACATTGGAAAATACAATTATATGATATAGTATTATATATTGACCGCACCCCAACCAACTTCTAAAACTATAATTACGGTCTACGATCTCCACACAATGGTGAATAATGATTCCAAAAGTATGTTTTTCTTCAGTTATAAAATCGGAGACAGCCCCTTTCTACTGTTCGTATCTGCAAAAATAATCATTTCTTTATAGCAGTAATGGATCCATGATTTAATTTTGGGGGAGGGCTTCAGCCCAAAAGCCTTTATATATATAATGATAATCACTAGCGGATCCAGGATTTAATTTTTGGGGGAGGGAGAGGCTTCAGCCCGAAAGCGTATTTCTTTCATAAAAATAACAATAATTACTTTGGTAAATAAGAAAGAAAATAACTACCTATATGAAGTGGTATTTAAGTGATTCCTAAAGCCCTTTTAAATGTAATTACACGAATAATTATACTTCAAGAGATAATTTTTAAATATTTTTTTCGATAAAACATTTTGGGGGGGCTTCAGCTCCCCGAAAGCCCCCCCCCCCCCCCGTAGATCCGCCCGTGATGATAATTACTTTGGAAGTAAAAGAAAGAAATTAACTACCTATGGTGTTTGGTTTATGAAATTCTATTTCATGGTGTTTAAATGATTATTGAAATCCAATTAAAATGTAATTAAACGAACAATAATACTTTTGTAGATAATTTTTTTTCTCATAAGATATGATTATATTTTTCCATTTAGGGGGAGGGACTTCTGCCCAAATTAAATATTTGTTCAAAAATATTCTGAAATATATTAGTATGCTCTTAAAATGCATAATATGCTCTTAATACAGATAGAAACCTCGTAAATGAAAAATAATTCAATAATTAAAACGTAACTTTCCGTGTGTCCTTTCTAATTTTCATTTCATCAGCTCCCATGGCATTTGTTTGTTTTTTTCTTAAATTATATACCATTCCTGCCTAGATTGTGTAGATACCTACTAAAATAAATTTTTTATGTATCTGACGTCGTATTTTATGTTTATGACGTCGCAGTTACGCGTGTTTCTTTTTTCATTTTTAGTCGGTTATTACCTATTTGGATAAAAAAAAAACAAAAAAAACGTACACTTTTTATATAGGATAGAAAATTTTAATTTTAAGCATAAATATTTTTAAATTCTCGTGTTCTTTAAAGGTACTGGAAAGAAGAATAGTTTCACTAGTATCTTGCATAACCAACCACAAAGGTAAATTATCACTGCGAATTACTGATCTTAATTAAGCTAATTTTGGTTTAAAAAATATCTCTAATTACATTTCTTTGAAGAAAGTAGTATATTTTTTAATATACTTAGTATTATACTTAGTATGAAAAATTCATACTTGTTCAATTGTATTTTCTTGTTGATATTTATACTATTATTAGATTTCATCATACATTAATACTTAACTTAAAAAAAAAAAAAGACCTACCTATTTATATCTAAATAAATCAACATTTCCATTCAAAATTACTGATAGCTGCTGAGAGAAAAAAATATATATTAAATCTTGATTTATTTTTTTAGGAAAGAAGGATCAAATTACAGTTAAGATATGTTATCCATGAAAGTCAAGAAAAACTTTTAACGCTAAAAATGTCGACCTCAAGAATGATAGACGTGTCCTGTGGTTTTGGAGAAAAATATTTTATAAAAAAAACACACGCATTACGTAATAAAATTTAGTCTTGATGTGGATAATATTCGGCCATCTTACATAACATTTATATTTTTTAACTAATCAACGTCAATAGATATAAAAATTCGATAATATAATATGAAAAAATAAATAAATTATATAAAACTTTATGATCCTTCATTTTTAGGTAGTCCTTTTATCACGACTATTTGATTTTACTTCGTTTGATGTGTTATTTAGTAGTATTTCTTAAAATATAGAAATATTTTATATTCGGGCCACTGGGTTTTGATATTAGGTTTTCCATGTTTCAGTTCTATTTTTGTCTTGTGTTGAGTTTTATTTTGATTCCCAGTTCTGCGTAGTATTTAGGGTCAAATCATAGATTTATTAGTTAAATAAATAAAGTTTCTTTTATCTATAAATTTATACAAAATTGTTAATTTAAGCATTACAATGTTTTTTAATCACCATTTTCATTTAACTTTTTATAATCTGTATACGATTTTAAAATAATAAATCCAACAGTGAGCATAAAATAAGCAACAGATCATTACCAGAAGATATCATTTTGTGTTTTTGAATATGGGATCTTTTTTGTTTCTTTATGAATAAAAAACCCAACATTCAGGCGAGAAGAATTTGGTCAGTTATTAAAAAGAAAAAAAAGAAAATACATGTAATGAAAATAAAAAGAGAAGATTTGTCTTATTTTTTCCTTTTAAAATATCCAATAACATATATAAACGGTTATTCTAATAAGTTTCATCTCAGATAATAGTCCGTGGTACAGACTTCTTTTTATCAAATTATTAACATCCACCTAAAACATCGTAAATAGCTTCATCTCATTGTAACCTACGAATATTTTATTTACGAAAATTCTCGAACTTGGGGAGTTTTCAATCTGGAATTCGGCAAACTTTGTCTATTTAATTATGAACTAAAACTCATGAATATCCATTTGGTTTCCACTTGAATTCTAAAATAATATTATCACAAAATCGGAATAAAAAAGGTGGCCTTCAAAAATATTGGGCCGTTTGGCCTTTATAACCTCATTGTTTTGACATTTAGGAGGTGGAAGTCACGCCGAACGGACCAATATTTTTGTAGGCCACCCTTTTTTTTCGACTTTTTCATCATATTATCTGACGATTTAAGTGGAAAGTAAATGGGCATTCATGAGTTTTTAGCACCTAATTAAATAGACAAAGTTTGCTGATCTCCAGATTGAAAACGCCCCAATTCCAAGACATTTCGTAAATCAATTATTTGTAGATTACGATGTGATGAATCTATTTACGAAGTTAATAATTTGATTATCCCCTTATCCAAAACAATAGCGTTTTCCTCCAAGGGCTGGCTGATCTCGATAGGAATACCATTAAGTCATTGTGCAAATTTATTGAAGAATCCAAGATAAATTGTTATAAATAAATAATAATAATGTACATCCACATCTCCATTTTATTATAATATAAAAATAGGGGCAGTATAGGACTTCATGGGAGTCTTGGGCCGACGAAAGAGGGGGAAAAATTGATAATAAGGGGTCTGTACCAACGAGTATAAGGAATAAATGTAAGAAAAAAAAAATTAGACGTCAACTGTTTTATGTTTTACTTTCAACATACATACAATCCAAAAATCAAATCCGTCTGTCTGCCACCCACAGCTTTTCTTCGAGATTTATGTACTGATATTTATTCAAGAGTACCAAAGTTATAGATCACTCCTAGATGACAATCCAAACTCGACAAATAAGATAGAACGGCTTTCCCTACAAGGTAGTTATATTTAAAACATAAAACTCAATAAAAATTTAATATTAAACTGATTAAAATAGGTTTAGCTGCAAGGTAAATTTTTCTCTTCAGCTTTTATAGTGCGTGCATAATAAACAAGGTATAAAAGTATGGAACAAATCATAAGATTGGCCGATATTTCAGCACAAACATTGGTAAAAGCAGTAATAAACTTCAGGATTCAAAACTTCACCGGTACTTGCGGAGAAGTAGTCAAGAACGTTATCGGTATGGAGTCAAAAACTCTCAATGGTGGCGTCAATGTCTTTAACTAAGGAAACGGTAAGATTAATAAAGATTCCTCAAACATGAATGAAGTATTTGGTAGCTGAACTACAAAATAAAACCTTCTATCCTTCTCAGATTAATAATTTATATTATAGTTATTTATATAATTCCCTTGCTGGTTTTTTAAGTTATAAATATCTTGCGTTTAATCGGCTAGGTCAAGATTTCTTTTGGCGGACTGTCTTGAAATTACATTTTACTGCCATACCCCTTGAAATAATGGAAAGAGTGAATTTAAACGGATAGAGTCACCGCGTAGGGTCCCTGATAAAGTAGTAAGGTATTCCTCTTCCTATATAAAACAATTTTTAAAAATAAAATAACAATAATTTTTTAAAAACTAATTGACATCAACAAATTGATTGTTATGATTTAAACATTTCGAAAGAAATTTTCATAAAAAAAGAACCCCCTTTACTTTGAAATAAATTAATTTTACCCTCTTCTCCCCTCCCCTCCTGTTAGGCAATTTTTCTTGAGCTTGACTACAAATATCAAATATCATTTCTTGTAACTTAATCTTAAAAATATCCCAGTTTCTGTGATGATTTCAATGTTTTCCTTCTTCGTTGTTGGTCTTTGACTGTTAATGTTTACAATAGCTTAAGTAACATCCTTGTAGACTGAGCTCAAGATGGATTGTCAATTACTCTTAGATCTTGGTAGAAATTTGTTTTTGTTTAGATTATTTCAATGGAGTATAACAATTCGTTTGTTGATTGTTATTTTAATAGCAAGAGGTTGCATTTGCACGGAAAGAATATCTCTTAAGAATTTCGTACCTACATACGTATTAACATGAAGAAAACATCAACTTATAAGATTATACAGTCAACATTATCTTCTTCTAATAACAAATCAATAATCTAACTGAACCAAAATCATACCTACAACAATATTCTCGAACCGAATCTTTTATTTAATAACTACATAATACGTTTCTAATACATTAAGCGAAGTAAAGGAGTACATAAAACTTGTCGGATAGTTAAAGTGCATTTGTTGAATAATAAATGAAAGGTTTATTGAAGTGATTTTTCAAGGTTAATTAGATAGCAATACTAACAATAGATTTTAATTAATTTAAAAACAAACCAGGAATTAATTGAACAAATGTAAAAGTAAGGTATTTCCATCAGGATTAAAGAAAAAGTGTAAACTTTCAACATTGAAATAAAAAGGTGATATTTGACTGTTTTATCAAGATTGATAATATTATTCTTTAATTGTACAGATTACAGTTTTAACATATATATTATTCCATTATCACGAAAAGATTTTTCAATATTTGGCGCGCTTTGAAATAATAGACAACTTTTCCTCTAGCATTAGAGAAAGTACGAAAAATATATCATTTGTTACTGTAGGAAAATATTTAAAAAATATATTCATTATTAATTAATAGTAGAAGAAACTACAAAAAATGTTTGTGCTGTCACATGTTGTATTACAATATTCAGTAGGCTATGTGTCAACCAAGTGTATAAAATAAAGTCTGCGGCACGTTCGACTTAGAGGATTACCTGACATCAATTTATTTACTATTTGCATTATTAAAGTATCGGGTAAGTTATCATCGTAATGTTACTGAGTAATTATACTGAGACTTAATTGCTGTTTATCCGGGTTCGATCACCGTATATGTACAGAAATTTACAATTTTTTATAACTTCGGCAATTTTTATGTTGTGTGAAGCAATGTACCCGTTAGTATTAATTTAGCAATTTAGCGTAAAATGTTTACGATTATTAACAAATTAAATCGTTATATCATATAGAATGCTTTAGTGTCTTACACAGTATGTGGTGTATTCTTTATCACTGACTATTTTTAAAATGTAATTGCATCTTGCATTTCTGTGTCAAATTGTCAATTTTTACCTGAACAGTATGTACTTATTCTTTTAAATTCAATATTTTTTTATTAATTTTAGTATCATTCAATTCATATCTATTTTGTTAGGGTTGTAATTATGACTTAAGAATAAGGTTAAATTTTCTTATCAAACTTTGTTAACTACTTATCTCATCTTGTTTTTTGAAGTCATAATTTATCAATACTTTTTGAAAATTAATTGTAATCTAAAGCATTAAGTTAAAACATTATGTATTACAGGTACGTGGTATGGAAGACAAATATAGATTAAATGGTGCGGGAGGTTGGGATAGAGTGGCGATTTTAGATGCTGGTGCCCAATATGGAAAATTAATAGATAGAAAAGTTCGGGAACTATGTATTGAAACAGATATTCTTCCTCTTGATACTCCTGCATTCAACATTAAAGAAAAAGGATACAAGTAAGTTTATTTTCAATTAATCATATTTGTATTCTTTTAAAATTGAATTACTGCTCAGACCATTTGTTTTTCTATTGAAATGTTCTGATCATGAAAATTTAAAACAACTAATTTTATTTTTTCTCTCATTTACTGCAATTAGTTCCTTAGGACTTATGTTGTTATCTAGGCTTTATGATACTAGTAACTGATCAGTAAAATGTGATTGTAAATGTTATCTTTTGTTGATAAAGAACATCAAATTTTATTTTTAAAGATTTAGTTTGCAATGTTGTTTACAATATTTATACTTTTTTTCCATGACCAATCCTTGAATTTATTACCTATTAAGTTTTAAATGTTTTATCACTTTTTACAATATATTCTGAAGCTTAGCTTGTTTGATTTTAACTTGACATATGTCCGTTTTGTATTTAATTCTACAATGAAAAGTGTTCAATTCAATTATTTTTACTTTTTAAATATGTGATTGTTATAACTGAAATTGTTGTCATAGTAATAACCTATATAGGCTATTCGAGAACTTAGCATTATCAATATAACAAGTAATATCACAAATATAGTTGTAACTTGAATAATGTGATCATGGAAAATATCTTCGGTAATTTGATTTTTAATATTCTACAATTTAATGATTCTTTTGAGGGAGAGAAACTACTTAAAAGATACTTCCCCTTATGAAAATGTAGAGGTGAAGGATGACTTGTATGATTAGCTCAAAATGCTGTCGACAAAGCTCTTAAACATGACATTAAGTCATGTCTTATTGTTAATCATAAGTGACTTCAATGTCCAAATAAGACAAAAATCCCTTTTTAAGCCCATTGGGACTAAAGCCGTCTCAAAAGGAGAAATGACAATTGAACGACATATATTTTTGCCAACAGCTAAGGGTTTAGTCATCAGCAATTCCTGCATAAGTACACCTAGGTTAGCAGGAAAGACCATTGTTGACAGGAAAGAGACAATAGTGATTCCTACAAGATTTAGAAAGCTAAATTAGAACAGATTGTGATTCGAATATAACTATGTTTGAGATGGGAGATATGCAAAACATGGGATCAAGTGGAAAGAAGGATATACGAAATTATAAATCTTGAAGCATTAAGCAAATGCCAACTTTGAGCCTCATGGTGTACCAGCACAGGGAATTATTAAAGTCTGAAATTAAAGAAACAGCCAAGGAAGTTATTCAATATAATATTTAAGAGAAATGAAAAGTTGTTTCAAATATATTGAAATCCTGAAACATCTCTACAAATTTAAAATTAAAAGTGTACAATGCTATGATTAATCAAGTTCTCATTTACTGCTGTGAGACCTGGACACTAACCAGCGTGCTAGAAAGATATGAGAGGAAAATTTTCCACACAATAACACGAGTGATCTGGAATCAGAGTACCAATGCTTGGAGGTGTAGCACCCGTTAAGAACTGCTTACAGCAACAGGTCAATTGATAAGATATGAAGGCAAGGAAGTTAAGATGGGCAGCACATGTACCTTGGAGCAATTCATCTATAAACAACTACAAATGCCTCAAAAATAGCCAAGACACTAGGAAGATCGATCGAATCAACAAAGATATAGGATTGCATGCAGATAACAGGAAAACAATAGTTCAAGATTACCAGAAATAAAGAAGACTGGTTAAGGCGGCTAAAGATCTATAGTTTGTAAAACCAAAAGGAAAACAAAATTATACTTTATCATTAGTTATAATACATTATATTTCTATCAGTTTATAATCCACTGCTTTATCTTTCATTTCAATTTTTCTTATATTTACTCTTTTCATACTAATACAATTTCTTCCTTTTCATTTTTCACACTCTACAATAGATCTGTATCTTGTGTTTTTTTCTTTTACTCTCTACTTGCCCATATCTGGCACAAGAGGGAGGGTATTATCGTAATATATTCTAACCAGGGTCTGCTAGTCCACCTCAAAATAAATTTCAACCCTCTCAGGCCGGATTGAAACTGTCGCCGCTAGACTTGAGGGTTGCTACACCTTGCTTAGTACTGAACACCTTTTACTCCCAGAAACTAATATAGGGAGCATCAGCGAACTCGGTGATCGTAACCAACCTTTTTATTGATATCAGAAAACATACTTGATAATAAAATTAATTGGATAAAAAAAAACAATAAAAGTGGGTAGAAGAACAAAAAAAAAAAACATTCTTCAATTAAAAATCATTGATTATACAAAAATTTTCAGTGGTCCCTCTAACTTTGAATTGATCAACTTCCATCATATTATTCTAAAATTTCTATTGCCATTTACAAATATATTCATTTTGTCCCTGAAAATAACTACTTATATTTATGTTAAGTAATTGACACTTAATTGTTTTATAAACAATAATATTAAATATATGATCATGAGATATATTAAAAAACTGATCATGAGACCATCTATAATTTTATTATTTGCACCTTTTTATCTCTATTAGATACTCATATCCACTTTACATTTTTGATATTTTTCTGCTGACTAAACTCAAATATTTTATAAAGTTTTACTTTTATCAAACGTTTTAGTTGGTTTGTAGTAGGTAGAATAATTTGTTTATGGTAATTTTTGAATTTCTTGTAATTCTCTGTGGACAATTATCATAGTTATAGTCGTTATCATTTGGTCAAAAGATGAAATAAATTAACAAAATAACCATTCAATTTCTGTGTTTTATTAAAAACCTTCCTTGGTCCTCTATTAAAAAAATATTTAGATCTGTCCAATGATAGTAAATGATCATTCAACATTAAAAAGCTTAAATAGATTATTAACTTAATTTACTGTTTAATTTGTGTCTATAATAAAATTTAGCATGCGTTAAATAAATAGTATATTTTGTTACTCTCTTTATCTCATCAGTGATCATTTCCATGATTCCTTTGATATTCTATCAAGAAATCAAGCTAGGGTGGAGGAGGAGGTGTGGAATATATTATAAATGTTGGTTTCTTAATTTTTGACATTTACATTATTACATAGGACATGCAATTTTATTATTGTGATATTCAGGAAGTTTTAGATAGTAAGGATATGTCCCTGAAACGTTTAACAGAAAAATAAATTGATTTAATAAGATGCTCTTTTTTACTAAGCCTTCAAATAAGAAAATTATACTTACAAAATAAAGAAATAAAAAAGATATGTTTAATTTCTTATTAGTATTAAGTAGGTGTAAAAATGTAGTATTATGTGTTTTATTAAGATTATTTATTGCCGATAAAAATTATCGGTGCTTGGGAATATACACACTCAATGATCAGGTCTAGAGAGCTCAAACAGAAACAACCAGTGTCAAACTGTAACAAATGAATACATTTATTTTCATATGACTGCTGTTTTTTTTTTTTTTTTATTTGTTTTTTTTATGTTCTATGACAAATGTCATGGCTAACAGGTGCTTCATTTTTTTTCTTTATGGGTTCAAATCTTATTTGTTCTAAGTTGAATTCATGATTGTTCGTAATAAGATTATATATAATTCTTTCCATTTTGTAGGACTAATTTATTTTTATTTATTTTATTTTATTAAGTGTTTCCCTACACGTCGCTTTATTTTTGAGATATTGGTTTAGACTTTACCTGAATCATTGGCCCTCATGAATCGTATAATTTACATGACATCCAAAAAAAAAAAAAAAATATTTTATTTTAATTAAAGAAAAAATGAGGAAAACCGTTCAGATTTTTTCTCTTGGAGGGGGATATACTTCTAAACAATAAAGGTTACATTCATATTTTGAGATTAACTTAAAATTCTAGGACTTAAAAGATAAATATTGTATTATTGTTGTATATCTCTAAAAAAAAAAATTATAATGAGTAAATTGATCAATTGTTTATTATGTTTTAGAGCTATTATAATTTCTGGTGGACCTAACTCAGTTTATGCTGAAGATGCTCCTAGGTACGATTCCGATATATTCCGGATAGGAATTCCCGTACTAGGTAAACAAACTAGTGTTAATTATTAAATTGTTTTCATGGTTAAACAATTTCTATACTTCATTTGATATATAATTTCTTGCAGGCATTTGTTATGGTATGCAAATGATGAATAAAGAATTTGGTGGACAAGTAATAAGAAAAGATGTCCGTGAAGATGGCCAATTTGTAATAGATGTCGATCAAAAGTGTATTATATTTAAGTAAGTTTTTTTGGAAATTTATAATTTTTATTTATACAACTTTTATTTTCCTCTTTTTAATTATTCAAGATGTGTGTTTAAATAATAACTTTTACAAGTGACAGTACTTACCAAACCATTTGTGGTCATGATGGTTGTTATACTGTCGTCCATTTTCCTTAACCTAATTCCTTCATGTATTGAAGTAACTTTTGGTTTATTCTATAAACTTAGTCCCTTTAAAATAATTTACATAGGACGAAGTGTATTAAAATTAATCAAAAATAATAAGTCTTATGTTTGAATCTATAATTTCATCTAGGTTTTTATTGTTGATGTTATTTTTTTATAGTTTGCGCAGCAACTATGACAAGTATAAAATTTAAAAATTAATTATGTTTTTCTTTTTTTATGAAAAATTATGATAATTGGCTCATCTTACAATCACTTAAGCCTTTAAATTATCACTTAAGCTATAATTAATTAATTAAGGGGGAAAAGCCAGTCGGTTGAGCGTGATCTCAGCCAAATCACCTCCTTGCACAACCCGTTGACTAAGTAACAGTACTTTCCCAAAACATTACTTAACCCAAGACCTTTCATGGGCTGATTGGTACAGGTTTTCTATGAATAAACTTTTAATTATATTGATTGAATTATACAATTATAATCTTGTTATGGTTATGGAACAAGAAAAAAAATTCTTTATTTATATCTATATGTGTCTTTTGCTGCTGATAGAAAAATTGAGATCTAGATATTAATTACTAAATACTAATTATAGCAAGTTCCTAAAAAAAGGAGTTAACGCAGGTTGTGTAATTTGCTAAAAGTACTTCGTTAATTGGGTGATTATTAGTTACTTATTTGCATTAGCAGTTGAAATCTGCAGGTGGGCAGAGAAGAAAAAGAAGCTGAAGAAAAAATTCAGAAAATTCTTATTGCATTCTATCGATTCTTGGGTCTTCACAAGAAAAAAGAAAATTTAGTAGCAAACTTTAGACAATTGAGATCTCATATTGTTGTTAAATAAGTTGAAGAGAATAAGAAAATAGAAGGACTAAAGTACAAATTGCAATAGTTAATAAAACACCTCAATCTGGATTCTGCTAGGATCGCATTACCAGTAATCAACTCCATTGATGTAACCATACTCTTTGAATGGAAGAAGAGTTTTAGTGATATAAAATATGGAATTTAAGTTAGCGAGTCAATAAAGAAAGACTGAATAAAATGGGATAGTATGTTTACCAGAGTTACAGAAAAGAGTTAAGGATTTAAACGAATTAAGAGCAAGGTTCAATATAGATAGAAAAAGGTTTTTGTGGTTTTTATACTACTAGAGCAGTTGAAGATAATAACGCACTTATGCATGTATGATGTGCATTACATTTAACTTAAGTATCTATTAATAAAAAAATTAAGGTATTAATCAGCCAGTTTACCTCGTTCATCTAAGTCAGATGTTTCCAAACTTTTTGGCCCACCAATCATATTGAGATCTCAAATAATTTCCTCGGGCCACATTGAGACCTCCACCGAAGTCCTGCAGGTCTTGACTAGCCATGAAAAAAAAATATCTTGGTTTATAAATGTCACTTCAGCTGTGAAATGAGCTTCCTAAGAGAAAAAAACCTATGCATTAAGTGTTGTAGTAACCTCGCTTGTGTGTAATTTTGCTAAATTTTATAATTATAAACAGTTTTTCAAATTTTACAATCTCATCAAAGAAAATTTAAAAATGCAGGCCGGATTAAAGTAGTTTGGGTATGGCCCGCAGGCTGTAGTTTGAAGGCCTCTGATCTAAGTTCATATGACTGACATTCATGCAATGATTATTAAATTTTTAATTAATATATTTAATTTGCTAACCAGTATAACATTTAGGAAATGTAAAATATGTATGATAAAGATTTATTCTATTTATTTATTGGTTTTTTATAATAAATTTTAGGGGCCTCGAGAAAAATCAACATGTTTTATTAACACATGGTGATTGTATAGAAAAGGTAGCCGAGTCTTTTAAAGCTGTAGCTCATTCTAACAATATCATCGCTGGAATAGCAAACGATAAGTTAAGACTTTATGGCCTTCAATTTCATCCAGAGGTTTGTTTTCTTTTTATAACTTTTTAAAAATAACTTATTAATTTATAAGTTTTTAATGTATCATGAGTTTATAAAAAAAAAAGAGTGTCATTTTACTGATGTTGCGAGTTGGTAATATTACAATACAATTTATTTTCATTATTTAGAATTACCAATTCTCGTATCAAGAACACCGATCGTAGAAATCTTATTTCCAAAATTTTGTTATCATTATTGAGGTTAATGTACTTTTTTATTTAATAGATTTATGATTTCTTTTTTTGTATATTATTTGAAACTTAAGACTTTAAATTAAAAAGTAAGAAGTATATTTATGGAAATTTTATAAATATTTATGAAAGATTAGAATTGTATTTAGCCTTTAGCCAATTATGCTCTTTAAAAACTACAATAGTATGAATTATATTAACTTGTTAACAAGAAATATCAACTATTTCTAGGTTGATCTAACAGCAAACGGCAAAGCAATGCTTCATTCTTTTCTATTTGAGGTATCTGGGTGTACTCCTAACTTTACAATGAAGAGTAGAGAAGCTGAATGTATAAAGTACATTCAAGATGCAGTCGGTAAAAATAAAGTTCTTGTAAGTTTATTCCTATTTTTTGTTCTTAAATGATTTTTAGGTTTAAATCTTTTATTATACTTTTAATCTTATCACAATTATGCATTTTGTTTAGCTACTAGTTAGTGGTGGGGTTGATTCTACGGTCTGTGCTGCTCTTCTTCATAAAGCTCTTCCGAGAGAACAAGTTATTGCAGTTCATATCGACAACGGTTTTATGAGAAAAGGTGAAAGTGTGAAGGTTGAACAATCTCTAAGAAAACTTGGCATTGACCTTAAAGGTAGATAGTTAATGACATTATTTGTCTTCTAATTATTATGTTATAATAGTGGCATGTATAATAGTATGGTGGTTGAATTTAGTGAATAATTGAAGATAAGTTGGTTGAAGGTTTCAGTGTGGGGCTATCACTCTCAAAGAGTTTCTGTGGTGTTTGCTCTTTAAAAAAAACCTTAATTAAATTAAACGAACCTAATATATTATTTTCTATTCTAATTAATATTAACAGATGTTGGCCACAACACTGGAGAATTATTGCATTACAAAAAACAAAACTAAAAATAATGCCATCAGCAATATATTATAAAATTAATTCAGAGGATATTAACGCTATGGTTGATTAAAATTTTATATGATGGGTGTGAGATATTGCAAGTCTTTGACATATATAGAGTGTATAAAATTATTTGTGACTACACATTTAGTTGGTGACTCAAAAACAGTTATTAGAAATGGAGACGTTTTATGATACCTTCATTAGTTCTCAGACCTGTGATTAAATTTTATTCCATTCTCTGAAGAACTTTTGGAACAGTAAAAAGGCTTCTAGTCGATCATGTGACCAAAACTTTTATTTGTTTACATCATTTAAGCCTCTCTTACACAGCCAATAGTATTGTTACAATATATTCCTCAGGAGTCAGTATATTGATGGAATTTGATATTGACTTCTAATAATCACTGACATAGTTCGGAATCGAACCCACAATATTCTGAACCATGTCCTCATGAGAGCCATACAGCATGCTAGCATGGTTGAAAGAGTGTATGACATATGATGAAGTTTCTGGAAAGATTTTAAACTAAAAGACTATCAAATCATTGCTATGCATTTTTAATTAGAAAGTTTTAGATTTTCTCTAGGAAAATGAAGATAACTTTTTTTACTGTATTAGTCACAAAATTAACAAAAATTAAATTACTTCAAATCAAGAAAAAATTAATAATTTATAATTTTTTATTATTATTGTTAGAGAGTGGGGTAGCTCAGTGGTAGGATACTGAGCTTCCAATGCCAAAGGTCCCAGGTTCGAATTCCGGTTCATGGCAGAAAAATTATTTATTCTGTTTCATTGACTGTAGGGCAACCCTGGGTAGGTAGACCCTCCTGGGGCATATCTAGCCTCTATAAAATGGGTACCCTCAATTAAAATTATTAATTAAGGGAAAAAACCTGGCGGTTGAGTGTGATCTCGGTCAAATCACCTCCTTGCACAACCGTAAACCTAGAAACAGTGGTTTCCCCAAGTAGTATTGAACCCAAAGGCACTTCATGGGTTGTAGTGGTACAGGTTTTATTATTATTATTATTATTATTATTATGGTGCTACAGTCCTGCAAAAATCTGGGCCTCCTCCACTACAGCCAACCAATCTCCATGGTCTTGTGCTACTTCCCTCCATCTTTGAACGCCCAGCCACCTCAGATCGTCCTCCACATCCTCCAGCCATCTGTTCTGAGGGCGCCCTCTATTTCTTTTACCATTCGGCTTCTCATGCAGCATCCTCTTTGGTATTATTTGGTCTGACATTCTTTCCACATGATCTAAACATCTGATTCTGGCTCTTTTCATCAATGCCACAATATCAGGTTCACCATGAGGTCCCTGCTGCTCCTCATCTTCTCCAAAGTTCATTCTCAAAGATTCCGTCACATATTCTTCTCAATACTTTTCTCTCCCAGGAGTTGAGCGTGCGTTCTGAGTTTTTGGTTAAGATCCAATTCTCACACCCATACATAACCACTGGCCTTACTATGGTTTTGTAGATGAGGAATTTGATTCTTTTAGAGAGTGAACTAAATTTCAAGTCTCTTTGCAGTGAGAAATAGCATCTATTTCATGTTTCTATCCTGGCCTTTATTTCACTCTCTATTTTATTATTGCTTGATACCAGGCTTCCAAGGTACTTGAACTGGTCAACAGACCTAAAGTTGTGATCCCTTAAAGCTATTTTCGTACTCACTTCCTTTTCCATTTTTGAACTTTTTGTATACACCGTCTATTTCCATTAACTATAATAAGGCCCAGTTTAGCCACTCCTCCTTCGAATTCTTGGAAAGTTTCTGATAGTGCTGCTTGGATTTTAGAGATAATGAGAGACTTACTAAAATGACGCTAATGAAGAGTACCTGTCTAGTGAAACTTGAAAATTCGCTGTCTGAAGAATTTGAGGTGGATAATTGATTGAGACATCTAGCTCTGGAAATGGCTATTAGTTCTATTCGAACAAATCCAGGAGGAACAATCTACAATCGCCTGTCTCAACATCTGCATATGCCGATGATGTTGCCATTATCTCTTAAAATTTTTTATCTAAGTAAAATTATTGAACTTTTAAAAAAAATCCTCTGACAAAAGATTTATTTATAATATAAATTTTATATATATAAACCTACCAACCTAATCATCCCTTTGATATTTTAGTCGTTAATGCATCTAAGCAGTTCATGCATGGCACAACAACCATCCCGGGCGATAGGAATGAACCAACATCCCGCTCTTCGGTAACAAGAATGTTATGTATGACGGCTAGTCCTGAAGAAAAAAGGAAGATCATCGGTGATATCTTTGTTGAGGTATTTTTAATAGAAAATCTAAAACAAATTAAAAATAATTACAATTACAAGTATTTAGGAAGTCATCTTTATTTGTGATTTCCTCGTCTAACAAAAAATTATATCTATAGGTAGCAAATGAGGTTATAGCTGACCTCAAGTTAAGCGTCGATGAAGTCGTTTTAGCTCAAGGAACCCTCAGGCCTGATTTAATAGAATCGGCGTCGCAGTTGGCCAGCGGTAAGGCCCACGCGATTAAAACTCACCATAACGACTCACATCTCATCAGAAGCCTCAGAGAAATGGGGAAAGTAGTCGAACCTCTGAAAGACTTTCACAAAGATGAAGTAAGTTGTTATTGTTACTTCGAGTTACTCAAGTTAATTCAGATTTATTGTAGATGTCATCTTGTGTTACTCAGGTTCGACAACTAGGGCAAGATCTAGGACTTCCTAATGAAATAGTGATGAGGCATCCGTTCCCAGGGCCTGGTTTAGCGATAAGAGTTTTATGTGGAGATGAACCTTACCTCGAAAGAGATTTTTCAGAAACTCAAGTTCTAGTTAAAATTATAGTTGAATATGATCAAATGTTGCAAAAGGTAAATATTTCATATATTTTTTAAAACTTACATAGCTTAATTAAGTGGAAAATCATAGAGAGAGCATTATAGTTAAAGAGTGAATAGCTGTCACCTTATTTGAGTTATTGAGGGCATAATAATTACATATGTATAGTATGCATGCATTTTTAAAATGGAGGGGAGGGAAAAAAATAACAGTTAAGTCACTTTTTTTTTTCTTAATAGAGTTATTCTTAACTTAGCTTTGATATCAATTGAAATCGAGACCAAGAAGAGCTGGTTGAACTTCAATAGAAATAAACAATAAAAAATAAGACTTTTTTTTTTACAAACTCAGAGTAAAAATTAATTTGAATTTACTGAAAATTACATGAAATCCAAGTAACGTTAGTAAGTGTTATGCCAGTAATGATTGGAATCAATGATACAATATTAATTAACTTTTTGAATAAAACCTAAGATTTTACAACCCCATAAAAATATTGTTTAACCTAACTTCCACTCCATATGATCTTTGCCTTCTACATTCAGCAGCTATTATATTGTTAACAATTATTTGTATTGATTCTATTATTAAATGGAATTCAATGAAATTGATATTAAGTAATTTCTATACTATTCTACACAATTCCTCCAAGTTTGGGCCAAATCGAACACGCAGTTTTTAAACTATTGGCATGTCAAATAATATGTTTACTGACCCGAATGCGAAAGTATTTTTTTTTTTAGAGTAGTGGATATAATTTGATAAAATTGATACATGAATGATTATTTGTTTACCAATCCCTAACTCCTCTCTAAATTTGAGCCAAATCGAACGTTCCTGTTTTATAGATATAGACATATCAAGGAAAACACGTTTGTGCATATATATGAGGAATATCAACGAAAATACGTTTGCGCAATATATGAGGAACTAGTGGACATAATTCAATAAAACTGACCAATAATAATTTTTTATTAAGCTTTGAGGCAAATCAAATGAGCCGTTTCTGCAATATTGGCATATCTATGAACATGTGCGCAAGCGGAAGTCGTGGATGGAATTTGATAAAATTGATATGGGACCATTTAGACACAATCTCTGAAAATTCCATTAAAATTGGATGAAAGGTAGTAGGTGATATGCCTGTCACATCAATTTGACTACAGACAGACAGACCGAACTGAATTTGATCCTTGATGTCTGAAACGTAAAATGCGAGTGGAAATTTTTGATTCTGAGCGGATAATTTTTTTAACCTCTCGGATGAATACAATGCTTCACTACCTTCGGAAGTGAGGAAGCAATAAATAAATAAATCAGTAAACAATACCTAATCAATTTATATTTTTTCAACTGCTTAGAAAAATGCAGCTTTTCATTCTAATTACATTTATATATCAATAACTCCATTTAATATATAGTGACATACCTGTTTTTTTTTTTTCCTTATCGTTCAAATCTTTTTATTTGGTTGGTTTTCATGAAGTTAAGACATAAAACCTGTTGGTTATCAACTCTGTTAATTATGTATGGTAAATGACCAGTTATGGACACCCTTAAGCCAATTTTGTTTTTGTTATCAACACCTAACATGTTATCAATCCTTTTTTTGAATGATGTGATGATATATTTTTGTTGCTTCCAGTGTAAAGAATCATCTGTCCTTATCCAAAGACATAATGATTTCTTTATATTTTTTTTAAGGTTAATTTTTTTTAAAAACATTTATTAGTTTAAGGTTATTCTGCTTGATGAGTTATGGACACCCCTTTACTTATCTTTATATCTATTGAAAAACACAAAGTTTTATGAAAAAATTATGATACTACTTCCACTAAATATTTCACAAATACTTTTTATTTTGTTTGTCTAATTTTGTAAACTTTTTTAAAACTGGGTTTGTCAAATAAACAAAATATAAATAAATAATAATACGCTTTATTTACTTAATGATCTAAAGCTAATAAAATTACACTTTCTTTTAGGAAAATTTTTAGATGTTATACAGTTTTTAACTAGCTGCTTTATAGTACGTTCAATCTTTCTCTCCTCTTTTTTTTTAATTCCTTCTTTTTTCCGTTCTCCTTGTTTGTCATAAAATGTTTGCCATCTAGCAGAGCCATATCTTTCTCGCCCATAAATGCACTAGATGCCGTTACACATTCAGAAGTGTGCTGTGAAATTAGAGGATGTGTCTTGAGAAACTTGCGCTATCCTTCTACCGGTATATTATTTTTAAATTTGGTCACTTTATTTTTTTTGCGTCATTGTCTCTTTACTCAACAGTAAATCAATCTTACTCCTAGGAAATCCTTTACTCGCACATTAAAGGATAATTTGTATAATCATATAATTTGAAGTAGGTGTCCTAATTAATTTTTTTTTTTTCAGTATATATGTACGAACTGCCTCACACATTATTTATATTTTTCATTGACAGAACACTTTAAATCTTCATCCTTCAAATTGTTATCTGCCAAAGGATTGAGGCAGGTCTTGGTCATTCTCTCGAATTTTATTGGTTAAAACTGTAGTGACACTAGATTTTTTGAATAACTTCCACATTCAAAATTATTATAATAATAAATTTCATTTAGTTATTATTCAAAAAACAATTTTTTTACACTTGAAAAATCACAATCCATCTTCCTTGTACCTGCCCTTACCCCTGGTTTTCCAGTTCTAAGTGAAACTCCTAGCTGAACACACCTGTAAGTCTCTAATTTTATTCTTCCATTTTATTTAATTTGTGGTTTTATTTTTTTTTTTCTCTCCACATTTCTTTATGTCTATTATTTCATATTATATCCTTTTTCTTTCAATCTCTCCTGTAGATCTGTAGAAGTATATTCACATTTGCATTTATTATATATTACACTACAACAATTGTTAGCACCTATTTACTTCAGTTTAGGATCTTGTTACTTAGCTTACTCTGTTCATATTTTAATGTATTTACTGTTTATAATTTCAATAAGCTTATTCACATTGTTTATAAATTGTGTCTAAATATTATGTAACTGCCACAATTCTCTATCTTTTTGTATCTTGTCCATTTTAGCCCTGAAGAAGACCTACAAAGTCAGGTCGAAATGTCGGCTTTTAATAAAATAGTTTTACCACTATTAAGCCTATATATGACCGCCACCCCGTACCATCTCCTTCCTTTATAATGCAACGGTCAACTATTAAATATTCAATAATCTTCAAAAATATAACGAAATCACTAATTGTTTGCACTAATATGAATGTATTATTACCTTTACATTATGTTATTTCATTGATATTACTGATAAACAAACTGACAGTAAGTCAGTAATTAAATGTTTTACTTATTAAGTTTAAAATTTAATTTATTTTCAATGTTTTCTTAGTAGGAATTTATTGATTCATTGATGACTAGATAAATTATCAGCTATTTTGATTCATTCAGTTTTAAATCTAACTTTATTTAGTTTTGTTTTAGAATCATGCACTATTGAATAGAGTAGAAAATGCAACTAGTGAAGAAGAAAGAGTTCAGCTGAGAAAAGTTTCTAGCAAACAGCATTTGGCAGCAACAGTCCTACCTATAAGAAGTGTGGGAGTGCAGGTAAGATTTATATTTTCGAGGGAACCGATGAATAATTGTATAGTAGAAATATTTTTCTAATTTTGGTTTATTATTTTCAATAAAAATTTTACAAATTTTCCTAAAAATCGAAAACAAAAAAAATTTGTTGAAATTGGACAATTTGGAGCCAAGATATGGTGTCTAAATATTTTTTATATGTTCTGTTGCAAAGTTTATATCCTTCGTTTTGGTTTTTGATTTTTGAAAGTTTTACAGAAGCAATGATATTTTTTTTTAGCTAATTACTGATGAAAAAACAATATTTAGGCCAATAATAGGAATCACCTTTTATTTATTTTTCTTTATGTTACCAGGAAGGTAATGTTACTTTAGTTGTATAATTGCTTGGAAACAATGAACCACTGTGTAATAATTTCCTGCATTTTTTTTATTATATCTGTATCTTGGAACAAAAAAAAACTGTTCAATGGAATGTTCAAAACTTTAAAATTGAAGTGAACTGCATGAAAAACATCAGGGTAGAATGTACATTAATTGTTAGCTGTTATGACTAAACAATAAAATGAATTTATTTTTCTCCTTCCTTTTAACATTTAATTAATTTAGTATTTAAAAAATAAATAAATTTCAGTCATAACATTATTGGTTCATTGAAATAGGATCAACCTTCCTCGGGTTTAACGACTCGATATTCCATTGAATTCAAATTCAAAGCAGCTGTTTAAGAAATCAATATTGAGGTTGCGATTTATGATATATAGCCTTTGTCCTTGTTATTTATTCATCAGCTCAATGATTTATTATTACTGTACACTACCAAACGGTTGTTTATTGAATCTTATATTTTATTAAACTTATTTACTTGAAACGTTTCAAAACTTTTTGAGACATTAAGGATGTGGATATATACAAAGAAAACAGGCTAAAAAAGAATTTTGATTCCTCCTGATAATGGTTTATTTAGTCAGTTTGAAATGACTTTTAAAGAAAGTATTAGTTATCTTCTTATTTTTCTTTTTTTATTAGGAAGCTTACGTTTATAATTTTTTCATATTTTAGGCAATAAAACTTCCAATTTTCTTCATATTTTTTTATTTATGCTTGTTGTCTCTTACGTTTCGGGACAATTTTCCCATCATCAGAGTAATATTTTTGTTTTTACATTCATTTTTTTTGATGTGGCACCATTTGTCAAAAATTAAATATTTGTCTCATTTTTTAAAAATTATTTGGTGTTACACATATTCACTGATACACTAATCAACATCTCTCTATTGCCTAAAATATGAAAAAAAGAAAGTATTAGGTTTTTCCAATACAAAGTCAAAAAATTAATTGTGATCTTTCCCATTCAGAAATTTTTTTGCTTCTAATAGGTGTCCTCACTTTCTTTAAAAAATTTAAGTAAATAAATGACTAATGTATTAGCTTATTTAATTGAAAAACAATTATTTATGAGAAAGTTTGTAGCATATTATATCAGTGGTAAGTACAATTTAGTGAATTTGTATGGGTATCGCCAGGAAGCTAATTTTCTCTATTTCTTTGTGTCTGATGGGCTAAGTTATGTGGTTATTACAGAGATGAACATTCCTTTGTGAATCACTGGTTAAAACTCGAAAATTGAACTTGCACTTGTGAAAATACCAAACTTTCAATAGCGTTTTCCCACAAGTATGATTTCTGTGGGAGTTACAAGCATTTTCTAAGTTGACCTGTCTGTTTGCAATGAACATAAATGATTCCAATTTTATTTTCCAAATGTAGAGTGATATCTCCCGAATTCAAGACTTTAGGAGGCCGAAGGCAAGGCGATGTCCAAAAATCCAATAATTCAATTTACAACAGACTTGTACAATTTTTAGGCTATATATATGATTTACACCTTGTTGCTCGTTTATTCTCAGTGCTATAAGAAGTGTTATTATAACTTATATATTATAGAGGATATTATATTATATTATAATATACTTATATTATAGAAGAAATGGGTCTAGGCATCAATTAAGAAAAAAATTCATTATATGAGGACAGGTGAATAAATTACAAATGGAACCCAGGAGTTTGATGAAATAACTCTTAAAGGTCCCAAAGAGTGGACAATTCACTATCTGGGAAGCTTTATTAAGCCCTCCTGTCATGTCTCTGAGAGGGACAAAAGTATTATTAATTCTGAAACCTAATACTTTATTTATGTTACTTACTTTTATTTAGGCAATCATGTGGCTAGAAGGAAGTTGAACCATGTCGCAATCCGATTGATGGATTGATGCAGTGACATATCTAGATGTTAGGTGTATCTGGAATGTCCGCTACTGAAATGGGATAGTGTTGTCTGTTGAAGGCTCTTTGAGGAGGCTAAAACCCGCACATGGTTGTATTGCCTTGTCATGTTAATTAATAAATCTAGTTTGTCTGTTGGTTTGTTGTTGGTTATTGGCCTAAAACCTCCCCAGGTCATCAATGCCTACAATTAATATAGTTACTGAAGTTTTGTTCTAAAAAAATAGATTTTTTATTAGGCCAATTGTTATATCTGAATGGAGCTGGTCTGTTAAGTGATATCTGAATTTCCTACGTTATTTTTACTGTTAATTATTTAATGCAGGAGTGCACCTCCTAGAGTTTAGAATTGGTGCGTGGTTGGCGAATAAATTTAAATTTTATTTAAAAAAAAAAAATTAAGTTATCTTTCTCAGATAGAAGGATATTTTAAAATTGGCATGTTTGGTATGGGTAACACCATTCCTATCCCAGTAAATACATTTTATTGTATAAATAATAATTATTTAGCTGTTTTTATTATGAAGGCATATTATCATTCATTATCAAAATTACAGAAGAGGAAAAAAAATTTTTAAAGAAAATACCTCTGCTAAATGGATAATGTGAAGCTGATGGTAGGATTTAGAAGAGCAGGGTTATAATTGTGGTACAAATTGTAAAAAGGTTGTTCATCGTTGCTTTTAATATTTTATAGAACTGTTATCATATATTTCTTCTGTTCGAGCAATAGCCCATCAGATCACCAATATTCAGCTTATTTTTTATTTTACAACATTTAGGCTAAACCAGATTCTCAAATCTTATTTAGAAAGAAGGGATTGAATTTTTTCAACTTTCTTTATGCCATTTAGAATAAAAACAAATTAAATTCTTTTAATATAAACAAAAATGTTCGGTTATTTAAAAAAAAAACGTTTGAGTCTAAAATCTGCTGTATTAGGTTTACATGGAGCTGGAGAGACGGTAGATTCAAAATGTTTTTAATAAGATAACATTTTTTTTATTAAAACAAATTAAAAAAATAATGCCATAAATATACGATTTTTCTAAGTATTCCCTTCTTTCTAAGTATTCAAACACTTTTATCTAAATAAGAATTAAGCATGGCTCCAGTTTAGCCGAAATATCTTTAAAGTATAAAACAAAAATGAATAAAATGGTATAGTGCTAAAACAACATGATTAAGACACAAAACATCGATATTATAGATAGAAGTATAAAAATTTTATATTTTAGACATGAAATTTCTGTTCCACTTGTCTTGATTTGTGTTATTTATTTATTTAAGTTTTTTCTTATGTTTCCAGGGTGATTGCCGGAGTTACAGTTACGTTGTTGGTATATCATGCGAAAAGGAACCAGATTGGCTTGATTTAGTAGTTTTATCGAAATTAATTCCTCGAGTTTGTCACAATGTCAATAGGGTTTGTTACATAGCCGGAGGTTTGGTGAAGGATCCTGTTCAAGATATCACTCCAACCTTCCTAACGACCCAAGTTCTTGCAACTGTAAGGCAAGCTGACCATCTCGTTTCTCAGGTAAAGTTTTTATCCATCAGTTAAAATATATTTTTTAGAAGTAAATGTTCCTTTTAGTATATTGTTTTTTATAGATACAATGTACTGTAGGTAGGGAATTCTGGCCTCTGTTAGGTAGCTGGGAACTCCAAACATTTTTGCACGATATTTATTAATTTAGAGCTAGAATTAATTAATATTTAATTATTTAGGTTACAAACATTTGAAAATAAATAAAAATATGTTGAATATATGTATATGGTTGTGTTGGTATATAGTGACAAATAAAAATAGGAACATAAAATATAAAAAATTGTTGCGGCCTCCATTATCAACATATTCTATTCAACCCATTGAATTAGTTAAGCTTAATAATTTACTAGGGTTGTTAAAGTAACAATTTATTTAGTCAGTAATTACCTTGTCCCATTGAAAAATATCCCTTTAATTTAATAGTTAAGCAATAAGACGCGGCTATTCTCGAACTTATACTAATCCATTTTTGTACTTGTTCAAGACCTTGTTTGGTTCATATCAGGCTTGATTTGTTGTTCCTTCAAGTACTAATAGTATTTAAGTCTATTTCTGAGAGTATAGAAGCTAAACTTAGATATTTTTTATTCATTAAAAATATCAAAAATATAATATAAAGTAAGGCTGTGTTTTTACTTTATCACATTTATTTCCATTTTTGCGTCGGTTAATAAGGCATTTTATTTAATGATGCTTCTTACTTATAGTTCATTATTTGATGACTTTATGCCATGATTGGACACATGACTTTAATCCAATTATGAAATAAATCTAAGAAGCATGATTAAATAAAATGGCTTACTATCCGATGCAACAATCGAGATAAATGTATTGAAGTAAAAACACAGCCTTACTTTATATTATAAATTATTTCACCTAAAACAAATAAGCACAAATGAATATCAGAAAGTTTCTTTCTTATGTTATAGCCCATGATACAGACCTCCTGTTTGTCAGATTATTAACATTGCTGAAACTTCGTAAATGGCTTAATCTCATCGTAACCTACAACTATTTTATTCATGTAAATACTCATTTGCTTTCCACTTCAATTGTAAGATAATTTGATCACAAAATCGAGAAAAAAAGTGGCCTACAAAAATATTGGGCAGTTTGGCTTGACCTACACTCCCAACATTTCTAAATGACGAGGTTATATAGGCCAAACGGCTCTTTAATTTTGTAGCCCACCTTTTTTGTGATCAAATTATTTTACGATCCAAGAGGAAAGCAAATTGGTATTGATGGATTTTTAGTATCTAATTATATAGAAAATGTTTACCATTCTCCATATTGGAAAACCTCCCTATTCCAAGAGTTTTTGTGAATAACTTAGTTGTATATTACTATGAGATAAAGCTATTCAAGAAGACCTCAAGTGTGTGTTAATAATTTGATAAAACGGGATCTGTACCACGGACTATTATCCAAAATGCCCAAGAAATCATAGAGCTATTTTTGTCCAATTGCCTTTTCGATAGATTTTTAGTTTGTCGAGAACTATCATGAATAGCATTATTTTTATTTTTAAAAACTAAACATTTGATATTGAAGGAAGTTAGTCGACTGCTCTACATATCGTGGGTGATAAATAGTCAGGACGCAGTCAGTTTTTAAGATTTTTATTGTAGCCAACGTTTCAACCCGAACTTGTGGCATCAGGCATGTAACCAACACTGAAGGTGTTCAAGTACCGTGATGATAATGATGACCCACAAGCTTGAATTGAAACAGTAACAATAAAAATCTTAAAAACTGACTGTGTCCTGTCTATTTATCACTCATAAACATTTGATGATTATCCCATGGCAACTATATGATCTAAGAGGCGTATGGTAAGAATAAAGATTTATCTTGAAAGCAGGACATTTTCGAGCTATAAAATAGAGGACCGGATTGTTCCTTTGGAGCTATACTGAATCTTGCTGACCCTGTTGAAATCTTTAAAATACATTTTATCCTTTCTCGATTCGTTGAGTTTTAAACGGTCTGAGTTTTAAAACATTCTAATTTTTAATGACTTACAGTTCTTCTTTTATTGGCACAACAGGAGCATGAAGCTGCCCTGGGTCTGCTCAACGGACGCCAACTCTCTCTCTTTATCTTCTGTAAGGGTAACAGGAATCCTCAGTTGTCGCAGATCCTGCCCCACAGCATACCTCCATCGGCCATTCGGCCTACCACGTTCGCACGCACCATCCAGAACGTTAATGTACATTTTATGAGCCACTCTTACCACATGGCCAAGCCACTTAAACCTCTGTATCTTAAACCTCTTGATATACGAGGAGATGCTACATTCCCTATAGAGCCTAAACTGCTCACTATTTTTCCTTCTTCGCTAATTACCATTCTCACATGCGGGCCCTTAGATTCTCCTCAGAACTACCCTTTCAAACCTGTCTAGCAGGTTGATGCTTTTATTGCTTAGGGTCCACGTTTCTCCAGCTATGACGATTGGCTTAGTCAGTGTCTTGTGCAGCATAAACTTGGTACGGTTAACAAGTTTGCTTTTGATTAGCCTTAAAATGGAGAAACAGGCTCTATTTCTTGCTGTTATTCTGCTTTTAACCTCTTCTTGTTCATTCTGGCCATTGTTGATGATAGAGCCAAGATAAGAAAAGCTTATGACCACTTCAAAATTGTAGGGACCCATTACAAAGCGACTCCGCCTCTGATCCAGTGACTTAACCAATACTATAAGCTTTATTTGCTCACCGTTAATGTGCAGATATTAATATCACCAATCTTTTTTACTTTGACATGTATCGTTTCAAAAGCCATCCTAATGCTCTGAGGGATCTACCGATGATAATGACGTCTACTTAGGCCAGAACTTGGGTCATTTTGGTAAAAATTATTTCATCTTGGTTTAGTCCTGCTCTATTTATGATTGCTTGTAGAGCGATATTAAACAGGAGAGGAGCTATTGGATCTCTCTGCAAAAGGCTATGATCATCATCATCATCCATGGCGCTGCAGCCCAGTTGTAGCTGGGTCTTGTGTGGCTGCTCTCCAGTTAGGGACATTCAGAATTTCCTTGAAATCCCTGACGACAGCATCAAAAGGCTATGATAACCAGCAGAATTTTACTCGACAGATTATGTTCATAATCGTGCATTTTACTAATTGAGTTAGTTTATTAGGCATCCTCAGCTCATGCATGGCCAATATGAGTTCACATGGCTTTTAGTTGTTAAAGGAAGTCAATGATTGGAATTTGATTCTTTTTTTTATAAGGATAGAATTCTTTTTAAAAATTATAGTAATAGAAATAGAAATAGAAAATCATCTTTATTTTGGGACTAGTAGAAAATCATCTTTATTCTGGGACTAGTAGAAAATCATCTTTATTCTGGGACTTGGTCCCTTGGGAATAACAATATTGTTTAAACCAATTGACAATAAATCTGGCCAGATGACCTATTATAAGAAAGAGTAACTACGATCTAAGTAATAAAATGAGTATATATATAGTTTTGGAGGATATTTTAAGGAAAGCAGATGGGTACAAGGGTTGCAATATTATAATATTGGTACAAAAAACAACATACTTATAACTAAATAAAATTGGAAAGAAATGCTAAATAAGTTTTATAAGTAACCAATTTTAGCGCTACAATATAATAAAAAAAATAAATAAAAGTAAGAATAAAAGGAAATAATTAGAGTAAATGAATGATTTATATATGTTGCTTAAGACGTATATGGTATGTAATGTTTCTAATAGATTTTGGCTAAATTAATAATTACGACAAACGTGATTCTGCCACCATGCTCTCTTCTAAAGTGGAAAATAAGACTCCGTTAGCGAATTCAATCAGAAAAATATAAAAATTAATATTTATTTGCTATAGTTAAATTTTTCTTTCAGCTGTTATATTGATAAACTTTTTAAAAATGTTATTTTGTTTATTGACAGGTGCTCTATAGTAGTGACTGTATGTCAAAAATATCTCAGATGCCCGTCATCTTACTGCCGCTGCACTTTGATAGAGATGCAGCTCTGAGGGCACCCTCCTGCCAGAGGTCAGTTGTACTTAGGCCTTTTATCACACAAGATTTCATGACGGGAATTCCTGCAGTTCCAGGCATCCACCTCCCGATAGATGTAAGTATTATTTTCAATCATTTCTATTATTATAGTCAAATAGCATGTTTGTGGAATCAGCCTTAGTACCGCCAAAAGAAGAATGAAGGCGTTATATGGTGGGAAATTTAAACAATACTGGTCTGAGAAGGAACAGCAGCTCTCGAAGCTGTTCCTTAAAGGGCCTTCTGATTAGAAGTAAGCTGCTATTGAACTTGGATCGAGCAGTCCTTAAAAAATTTACAGCGATCTATACTGGTCACTGTAAGTTAAACTATCATATGTTCAATCTCTGAGTGACTTGGAACCCTCCATGCAGATTCTATGAGGAGGAGAATGAAACAGCCTTTCACATCGTATATCAGTGTGATATGTTTGCAAAGCTTAGACTTGAGCTATTAATAATAATAATACTTTATTTATTCTGGGACGAGTTCTTTTAGAATAATACAGAAAGACATAAATGTGGGCTAAGGAGCCTCAGAGATACATAAATAAAAGTACAGAGTAATTAAGCAGTCATTGTAAAAAAATGAACAACTAGTACTTGCTTTCTAATTTTAATCAGTTAATAGTAAAAAATAAAAAATTGAAAAAAAAAAAGGATGAAGTAAAAATAATGAAGAACAAACTAATAATTTATAATATTATTAGGGTGGACGGAGTGGATAAACCCAGAAGCTATGAGTCCATTAATACTTTAAGCCTATCAAGATACGTGGAAGGGACCAAACTAATGTTTTAATAGTAAAACAGACAAAAAAAATAGTGCACAATAGATCCTTAAGGGTCACAGCACTTCAAGGCAACAGGAAAAAAAAAAAAAACAGTCATATAGGTCTATTATTATAAGATTATATATAAAGAGTAAAAAAATTAATGCTCAAAAACAATGCCACCTAGCATCATTAAATTCCTTGTAATCAGAGCTTAAAATGAAAAAAAAAACTTTTATTTTTAAAATGTTTCTTATTTACAGTATTTTATCGTCGATAGTTTTTCAATCTTTTGGAACCGGAACTTTTTCCCTTGCAACTTTTCAAGTAAGTTTTACAGAAATTTTGTTTTTAAAAATATTTATTTAAAAGTTGTATTGATTTTGCTGAAAAGTATATCTAAAAAATGACTTCTGTTAATTGGTACTCAAACAAGCACATCGTGTGTAATTCATATAAGACAAATTATAACTAATCTAAGCCCAATTACTATTTATTTTTTATTTAATGGAACTTTTTTTAATAACTTAAAAAATACATAAAAGTTAAACTTTTACCATAAACCTGGATAATTCTATTAAAAAAAAGTTCCTTAGAACTTTTATTTATCAAAATCTTGTAACATGGAGATTTTTAAAAAATTTCCATAAACGTTCCAACTCCTGCTTGTAATGAATCTTAGTAAGATTCCATGCCATTCATTCCTTGACCAGAAGGATAAAGTGGTACAGTTTGTATGCATTAGACTTTTTACTAAGTCTCATGGTTAGAATAGTGATAAATATTTTTAAGGAAGTGGCCAGTATGGAAAATGTATAATGAATCAGATGTAAACTCGAAAGACCAAATCTACATATTTTACATACTCAAAGTATGTAATATCCTCCAACTATGTATAACGAAAAATGAATAATTTGCTTTTAAATGAATAAGTGTAGAAGGCTTAGAAAAAAAAAAAATCTGAATACATATAAAGTAGTCGCTACGGGATTGAATAAAATTGCTTAATGAAGCAGATTCCCATGAACCTGCCGAGAAAGGAAGCTGTGGTAGAGTTTCGGATGATAACACACATATATATATATAATATAATGTCTATATATTTATATACAAAAAATATTAAGAGAAGATACAGATATATACAAAACATACAGAGAGACAAATAAATATAAAAATAAAATGGCTCTTATCATTTATCTATTGGTGAGCAATTGTATTTACATAGTCTAAAAATTGTTTTAAGATGGCGGAAGTTTGAATGTGTAGTAGGTGGTGGAATAGGAGTTGTTTGAAGGAATTTGTAGAGATGACGAAGGATTTGCTGAAAGAAGTTGTTTTATGGGAATGAATATAAAGGTCTATAGATTGAGATCTGGTATTAAGAGAGTGGAGCGTAGAGTAAGGAGTTCTAGAATGTAAGGAGGATTTTTGGTTCTGAGGACTCGGAAAAGGAAAAGACCAAGAAGGAATTGCCGTCGAGAAGCAGGACAAAACCGCTTCAACTCGGTGTACAGGGAGGAAACATGGGTACGCCTGAGAATTCCGAAGATAAATCTTATGAATCAATTCATGAATCTATTCAGTCTTATGCATAGCCCTGCATTGGATAAAGAAAGACATAATTAAAGAAAAAAAAAACTAGTCTCTATTCATTACGTTTGTTAATAAACTCTGTACCACTTCAATCCATGAATGATTTTGGGTTTAGTACTTTGTTAAGGAATTAATTATATATGTAATAGTTAAAAATAAAATTATGGAGAAACAAAAAAAAAAAATGTTATGGAGTACTGTTTCAAGGCTAACAGTTGTGCAGGGAGGTAATCGGACCAGGATCACGCTCAAACCGCCAGGTTTTTCCTCTTAATTAAAAATTTAATTAACACTAGTTTATATGTATATATATATTTTAAAATCTATTTTTGAATATATTTTTGTTTCTAGGTTGTACAAAAAATGATATCTGATGTTGGAGCTATTCCTGGAATATCGAGAGTTTTATACGATCTTACAGCGAAACCTCCTGGTACTACCGAATGGGAGTGAAGAAACCACTTTGTATCTCTTTCTCTGTATATATTTGTGATCCTACATTTTTAACACCTTTAATTCTCTCCTTTTCAGTTTTATACATTATTTCTTATTTTGTATAAATAGAGGAAGATTAACGCGCTTTTACTTTCATAAGTTATTTTGGATCAGAACATGTAAAGTTCAATTATGATAATTCATTGGTGTTTCGTCTAGAGGATTTGTGTTATAATTTTTACTAAAATAAGGTTACCTCTTCTTAACTAAAACAATAATAGTTTTGGCATTGATAAAAATGTGACTTATACATCAGATAAATCTATATTAAATATAAAATGTGTTTGTTCAAATTAAAAAAACAAAACAATTTGTTTGGTCATGAAGTGATAAAAGTCTTATTTTGGTAAAAGTGATGAGCTCTTTTGATCAAACACCAGTGAATTGGTAATGAATTAGTCACAAAATATTTGGATATGTTGTTTCTACATGATGATTGGTATACTGCCAGTTTTGAGGACTGTAATAAACGTTGCCTTTGTCACCATTTGTCCATCTATGTAAATATTTGTTTTGTTTTTTTTAACATATAAAATTAATTATATATTATCCATCACTCAGCCTTGTTAATATTATTTGGAAATTTTGTCTTCAAATTAAACACGATATATAAGTGGAAATGCATGTAGTAAAAAAAAAAAAAAAATTTGTAAATAAATTGTTCAATGTTTCTTTTTCTTAAATTTAGTTGCAGAAAATAAAAAAAATCTGTAATATTATCTTTGTAAATAATTATGGTATAAAATAGAACCATTCCTCTCATTTTACAAACTTCAGGTTCATTTTTATTGGTAATTATGAGAATATTTAGCAACAAGGGCAGAAATATATTTTCATAGATTAATTTTGTACTTTTTTTTAAAATGTTGTTTCCTTGTAACTTTATTAAAGCCTATTATTTGTAAAAATGTTGAAATATTATTTGTATGTAATTAAAAAAAAAAAAATAACAAAAATTGAAATGATTGTGGTAGATGTTTTATATTTGTCTGTAAATGAAAGTCGGAAGATGAAAAAGATAATGATTATATTTATGCTAAAATTTTGGTTGAACCATATGGTTTATGAAATAAAATTATTTATAGAATTTAATGATTTTGTTTAATACTTCAGATTTTATATTTTTTTCTTTCTCATTTTTTCTCTCATTTAATTTAATTTTGATTTGGAGAAGATATATTAGTAGAGATAGTTACCTATTGTGAATTATTTATTTTTATACTTTTTTTTTAAAACTAAATTGGATTATGAAATATCTTTCAAGTGAGCTGCTAATTATAGGCTTGCTTTCCTCATTAGCTTTCTTTAATTTTTTTAGGTTTTCTTACTTATTTCTTGTTTTGTTTTTTTTTTTCTTTATCCTCCAAGAGAGAAATCTTTCATTTGATCACGGGACCTGGCATTACATTTTTTATTTGTTTTTCCAGACAATTTTTTTTTTTGTTTTCAAAAAGTGGTGATAATTAATTATAATGAAATTTCAGGTTATTAATTATAGGTAATTAGTTTAGCAGTTACAATAAAACTAAATTATAGTTGAACTGGACTAAACATTGTTTATTTTATTGAGATTTATGCTGAATTTGGGCTTTGATATTTGTTATAATTTGTTTGTATAGTAGACATATTTGTATAGGTCTTCTATGTTGTTCTCTCAGCTTGTATTTATTTTCCTGTTAATACTGAAGCTATGTCATTACAGTATTAATTATTCTTTAGTTTACTATACTTAACATATTTATTATTATCTAATTTTATTATGAAATACCATAATACCAATGTGTTATTTTGCTTGATAATAGTAAAGTGTCTAATTATTTAAGTAGGAACATTGAAATATATAATCTCCATTACACCAATGTGATTAAAACATTTTTTGAATTGGTTACATACATGGATCCCTAATTTACGACTTCAAAAAATAGAATTATGTACGATTGCCCTCTAAAAAAATGTCTTCATGGTATAGTTAGATATTGGAATTGTTATTTTTTTTAATAAAGAATTTTTATTAGATTTCTTACTCGGTAATAATTATAGAAAAAGAACTTTGATTTACCCGTAATCCTGAATTTGAAACTTTCAGTTTAAATGAAAAATGGTGTCATTACTGATATGGTACACTTCGGACTAAATAACTAACTTCTGATGGTACTGTAATTTTCTTGTATTTTTTAAGAGGAAAAAGAAGGAAGAAAATTGAAAAATTGTCATACTTGATTTTTGTTGTATTGCACCTTTACTCTTATTATTTATGATGAGTAAGTAACAGTGAAGTAAGTTTGAAATAAGAAACTTCAACAGCTTTGGGTTAACAACATGGGATCTGAATAAAAATAATAATGTGATAGAAAAACCAGAGTGGAATGGCTAACATCTTAGAAAAATAACAAAAAAATTGTTTATTATTTATGTTATTTATTTATCTTAACTGGAGCGTGTTTACTTCCTTGTTGAATGGTCAAGAATAAAGAGATAACGTATAAATTGAGTTGAATATGCCACAAAATGAACAATTTACTATTGTTAACTAATTTTTTTTTTGTTTCTATAATCTGATAAAAAAAATATTTATGGTGAAAAGTGCTGATCTGGTAAGAGATTATAGCTCTTAAACAGCTTATTAAATTTCTATTTGTGGACCACATTCATGATGAAATAATTATTTGGCATCAGGCTATATTTGGAGTCACTCACATCATATATACTAACTACAGTACGGTAAGATGAAGAAACGCCTTGGTTGTATTGTTTTGTACTCTATAATTTCCTCCAAAATATTACTGTCATATCAAAAAGAAGTCACAAAAAAGTATTAGTTATTATTTAAAAAATACTTTGTATTAACTTATGAATGGATATTTTAATGTTTCATGAGTAATGGGTGGATCGTGGAATAAAGAAGTAAGTATCCAGAAAAAACAAAATAAGTGCTGTGTGAGGAATCACTGATGGCTGATCAATATATATCTTTTAGGAAATTTTAACCACACTTGTGTTTTTCGATATAACCAACATTTGGTATTAAAGTGAAAGAACCTGATGATTTTACAGCATTTAACTGAAAATAAGAAAGCCAGATTGCATATTTTCTGAGTAAACAAGTCTATATTAAATGGCCTTGAAAATTTGGAAGTTACAAATGAGTACATATTGTTTTTTCTTATAAAATTATGTTTTTCCTCAAAATATTGCTATAATATAAATAGATTGATTGTGGTTTGTTATTAAATGGAAACATATTCAATTCCAATTTTTGATTTTCTATTGTAATTCTGTTGAATATTGAGCACTCATCCTATTCAAAACCAATTATTTTTTCATATTATATGGATTGGTTCTATTCTGCTAAATACTGTCCAATTTATGCAGTAAAAGATGATCCATTAGTCCCAAAATGGATAAATATTTTTCAAAATACACTTCAAAATATTATAACAATATAAATAAAAACCCTTAGTGATATTCTAGACAATAGTGTTTCATAGAATCTCATTGCATCTTTATGATTCTAATTTTAATCGTAAGATTTGCTGAACTAAATTATCTTAGTTTCGGGCATACATTTTGTCTAATATGTGTTCAATTTATTATTTTTTCTATTAAGTTAAGCATTTACGGATTTAATTACAGAAAAAAATGTATTATTAAATAAACAAGAGAATATTTGTTGATTATTTTATGCATAATGAGTAAATATGGAAAATAGTACGTAATATCTGACGTATAGAGTATTAAAGAAAAGTTTGCATACCGTGGATTCATTGCAAAAAGTCTATAGGTACTATTTAATAAAATTAAATTATTGTTAAGTACTCAGGTGAATTTTTTTCTCTATAATATCAGAACATTACGCATTTTTCCTAATTATTTTTGATGCCTACATGGGTTGCTGTCACTTTTAATCACTTAACACGTTTTATTTTTATCAATAAAAAGGTTTAAATTCTTTAAAAACTACTAAAAAGTATAATCATACATCACTAAAAAGTATATAATTCAATCAAAAATTTTCTTTGTGACTTTTTCCAATAAACTGAGGATATGTAGTATATTAAAATTGGACATTATTTAAAACTAAAGTAATAATCATAAAACAAACAATAAATATTGAAAAAAATGACTATTTTTAATATTTTATTATAATATTGGTTATATTAATCAACGAAACATCGAGAAAGTCGAAAAAATATATAATTTTAATAATAGTTCTTTTTATTTTTAAAAATGATAACAATCTACTGAAAAACAGACGATTTTAATACTATATTTAAAAAATAGTTTAGTTAATTGCCTAAAGATAGCAGCACCTATCGAGAAATCAGCAAACAAATAGACAAGGAAAACAACATGCCGGTAGACAAGGACAGAGAAGGATCCAAGGAGAGAAATCCAGTTCGAAAATTTTTATTTTGTATTAGGATAGTGGGAGGTCAAAGGAGCTCACTGGTAGAGCTCATGCAGTGAGCCGTTAGTGCTGCCGTCTTGTGGCAGTCTCTAGAACTACAAGTACACGTGCACTTAACCCTACCTACTAGCTAAGCTCCTGTGACCTCCCACTATCCTAATACCAAATAAAATTTTTCGAGCTGGATTTCTCTTGAGGATCCTTCTCTGTCTTTGTCTATCGGCATGTTGCTATCCTTGTCTATTATATTTGTTGATTTCTCGATAGGTGCTGCTATCTTTAGGCAATTAACTAAACTATTTTTTTTAAAATTCAATATTAATATTTTTTTTACAGCTTTCTCGATAGGTGCTTCTATCTTTAGGCAATTAACTAAACTATTTTTTAAATATAATATTAATTTTTTTTTTACAGCTTTCTCGATAGGTGCTGCTATCTTTCAGCAATTATTGGAACAATTTTTTTTATATAATATTAAAGATCGCCAATTTCTCAATATATTGCTATAATATTTGTTTTAATAATCAGTGTTAAAATGATGAATGATTTT